AAACGGCCATCTTGTGGTTCCAGGTTTTCTATGGTGGTCTCAGTCAGTTAGTCAGTCAGTCAGCTACAACGTAGGACCAGGCACATAGATGCATCGGTCCAAGTTGCCATACCTCGTTAGCACAACAAGATGAACACCGAATTCATAGAAGTAGTTAATTTAGTGATATTAGTAAATAAAAGATAAGTTTTATGTAAGGATATAGTATACGAAGGAATTTATGAAACAATTTTAATCTTAAAGTTTAAGGGAAGAGAAAGAGTGTATACACCTGCGCCTTATCCCATGGATATTCGTTACCAGCGATAAGGCCTCAACAAGTGCTGTGCTAGCACGAAAATTGCTAACAAAAAGGTCGTGTGTGAGCGACCTCAAGCAATTGTCGCTTGGGCATTGCGGTCACGTTCTCAGGTCATTAAGACCACATCTAACCCAATTTTCTTTTTCAGGTACCTCTAGAAGAACTCTTCCATGGTGTAGGCAACCGGGAAGTGATAACTGCCCTCATACCTCTAACACCACTCAAGATCACTGTTCTATGGTGATTTAGCTTTAATTGACTTATGAATCCAACAATTAAACAAATGTGTATATCAATTATGAGTTTTCTTTCCAAAAAAACGATTAATTATTTGATTGAATACAGTTAAAGTTCAAATGGAAATTATTCTATAAATGATACAGAGTTCATGATCCAGTATGTTATACATAAATGCTGTAAATAGCTAAACGTCAATTTCTCACTGTGCTCTACTTATTAATAAACGAAGTAAAGCCTTGTTTGTTTTAAAGTTTTCAACTTGTATCAGTGAAACAAAGTTCTTCTAAATATCATTACCTAACAGATTTGTCATCTATGTGACTATATGGAAAACTCCATTTGTAAGCTTCAGTTTATATTAAGAAATAGACAATGTGATATTGGTAAGTAACCAGTTACGTTAAGAATAATTAGATCAGATGATGTGATAAATATCATAGATTTGGGCTATTCATTTTAAATACAATGAATCATATTTCGAAATCAGTTAACTGACATTACATTTTGTTTAGTTATTTGAACACATACATATTGGTACAATGGGGTACCGAATGCATATGAGACACACAAGTCACTTGATTTCTGTGTGGAATGTGATACTGTCAGAGTGCCTAGACTGAAGTAGGTAGTTTTCTTAGGGTCCCACATCCAGAGACTTCGATCTAAAGGTTTGATCCACAACACAGCGAAGCAACGTGCAGAGATGCAGTCTCATGATAGCCGGTGACCAACAATTAGTTCTTACGCCATTTGTTCACCTAGGATCGTGGGTACCATGTACACTTTGTGATTGGTTGAGGTTAGACATAAAAACCATCGGATGCCGGCTCAGTGGTTCATCGGCTATGTGCTCTGGCGCGAGACCGATAGGTCCTGGGCTTGAATCTCGCGAGGCGAGGTCGTGGATATTAACTGCTGAGAAGTCTCACAATAGGAAAAAACGGCCGTCCAGTGCTTCCAGGTTTTCCATGATGGTCTAGCTTAATTGACTCATGATCTCGACTCTATTAATTCATAATCGTCAGAAAACTTTCAAAAATAACCTCTCAATGTCAGTGTTGTCATAGAGTTTTTATCACCTGTTTGTTAATATCAGTAAAAATAAACTATATTCAAAAGATTATAAGGCAAGACTTTAATCTATGGATGAACTAATCAGATTTACAATATCAGATTTTGAATTCTGGCATGAAGTTCATCCATCTATTTGACTAAATAGCTGATATCAGTTCATGATGAAAAGCCTAAATCTAATTACTAACCTTAACTATCAACTGTAAATATTAATCTTAATTCCTCGCACTCGTTTATAACCCTCATTCTGTCTTAGTTATTGGGTGAACACTCTCAAGGTTACTTTAGCGTCACTTAAATGTCGTCTGTAAATTATAATCTCACCGACTATACTTACCATCCTAATCGGTAAGAATAATTTTGAGCCTAAAATGGATAATTGAACTGTATATATTACTCTGTTACTTCAATAGTTTAATTATACTTATGTCTAAGTTTAGTGATACCCTTCTAGTCTGATTTCTTGCATTATCAATGTTAACAGTGATTAGTAAAACAAAACAATATAAACATTGGATAAGGTTGATGTGAATCGGTGACACTATCCTAATTATATATATTCTAGTTAATAATCCTTGTTACTTTACTATGATACTAATCTAAAGACTAAAAGTTAGAATATAAAAATATTTTGAGACTTACTTAGTTGTCAGTATCCTCTCTCATACACACAAATAAATGCAGATGAAGACAGCAAATGTAGCAGCGGCCTCTGCATCAATAGGCTTCAATATACACAAAGGAAAAAACAATATTCTCAAATACAACACATAGAACACCAACCCAATCACACTTGATGGAGAAACTGTGGAGGAGGTGGAAACATTTACGTAACAAGGAAGCATCATTGATGAAAAAGGAGGATCTAATGCAGATGTAATGACGAGGATTGGCAAAACAAGGGCAGCATTTCTACAATTGTAGAACATATAAAACTCATAACAACTGTCAACTGACTTCAAAGTGAGAATCTTCAATACGAACGTCAAGACAGTCAGTTCTACTGTACGGAGCTGAAACGTGTAGAACTACTACGACCATCATCAGGAAGGTACAAGTATTTATAAACAGTTGTCTTCGCAAAATAGTTAACATTCACTGGCCGGATACTATCAGCAACATCGTTCTACGGGAGAGGACAAACCAGCTTCCATATGAAGAGGAAAATAGTAAAAGACTTTGGAAGTGAATAGAACATACATTAAAGAAATCATCAATGTGTATTACAACGCAATCCCTAACTTGTAATCCAGAAGGGAAGAGGAAAAGAAGAAGGCCGAGGAACACATGACGTCGAGAAATAGAAGCAGATATGGAAAAGATGAATTTTAACTGGAAAGAAATGGAAAGGATTACCGAGGACAGAGTTGGATGGAGAATGCTATTGGGCGGCCTATGTTCCTCCACGAGGGGTAACAGGCGTAAGTAAGTAAGTTGGTTATTTGTCAGTATAACAATAACATTGATTTACATTTCTGTCCCGAAAAATGGTCTACATCTAACAACAAGGAATATATATTGTGATCAGCTTAAATTCAACATCTGAATAGTTAATATAACATTCAAGAATTAGACTGACCGGTGAAAGATTAACTAGAATAGACATTTTTCTTTTCCAATTAGCTGTTATTCAACCATCTAGAGTTTATGCGTCTGTAAACTTTGTATCATTCATCGTAATAGATTCATTTGATAACAAATAATACCAATTTAAAAGAAAATCAATCAAATACCTATTCAGAAATGCGCGACATTTCTCCATTATAAACAATTATGTAACAATTTTAATAGTTGAAATCATGAGTCAATGGAAGCTAGACTACCATTAAAAACCTGGAAGTACTGGACGGTCATTTCTTATTCAACCATCAATTTATATTGATACTATCTTGCTTAAATGTATATAAAAAACAATTTGATTTCTTCATATATCAGCATAGGGTTATGAAGTTTATTGAGTTTAGATTAAAATCATGAATAGTGAATGAATGCTAGACCACAATTGAAAAGCTAGAAGCACTAAATGTTCATTTCGTCGTACCATAGGACTGATCAGTAGTGCGCATCGACGATCCCTTACGTGGAACTCGAACCCAGGACACTACGTCTCATGTGTGAATACTGAAACTGTACACTACTGAGCAAAAGAAAAGTACAATAATTACTACGAATACTTAGTTCTAGGATGCTTGAGTTAAGTTAAGCAATATTGTGTTTATATTACAGTTATTTAGCCAGTATGTAATGAACGAGAACACAGGCGGTGACAACCAAATGTATTTAAACACAACTACAGAATCTCTTAGTAAAACCTGAAAAACCATATGGTAAATAATTCATTTACAAAATGTTAATCAATCACCTCAGACTTCATTGTTCTTTCGTTTCCATGCCAATCATTCCCTGTTCTTTTTTTCTTCTAATCGATCTTCTTAACCTTCTGACATCAGACATTTCAATTTCTATTGATGATATATACTACTTAAATCTATCGACATGAGTAGTACACAACACATGTCGAATTATTTAAATTGTTTAAATTCACTTAGTATTGTTTGTTTAAATCTCCCAATTGATGTTAAGGATTGCAGCTGGTCAGTCTCTTATTGGCATATGTACATACTGTGAGTATTGCCTCGATATGGCCTTATTTCACAAGCATTATAAGCAAAGATGGATAGTGGCTAGCAGTGAAATCAACGATGTGCGTTTCGTCCAGCTGCATTTACCTGCATCTGAGAGTTGATGTTCACTCTGGGACTCGAACCCAGTACCGTTCGCTTCAAACGCCATTGCGTTATCCACTCGGCCACTGAGTCCTGATAGTCACTTGCTTGTGCAATGGGGTGAAGTTTAAATTCACTTAGTATTGTTTATTTGAATCTTCCCATTGATGTTTAGGACTCCAAACGATTAGCTAAGTGGAGAACGTTATGGCGTTTAAAGTGAAAGTTACTAGGTTTGAGTCCCAGAGTAAACATCAACTCTGAGATACAGGTACATCCAATTGACGAGTCCCAAATAGGACGAAGCGGTGCACGTCCTGGATTCCACTACTAGCCACTATCCATCTTTGCTTATAAAATATTTAAATTGTTTGTTGTTGTTTCTTTCTTGTCAACAAAAAAATTTAAACAAACATTCAAACTATACTAAATTTGTTTTAAATCATAATTCACTTTACAATAGTTGACTAATTTTCTACATTTCACCGAAGCCATCAATTCTGTACCCATCTTAGCATTAATCATAAACACACCCAATCTATTTTATTATTGGTTAAAATAAATATAAAGTAATCATTTCGTTCTTTTTTTTTCTTCAAAGAAACCTCCAACATAAAGGATCCTTTTTTTCCTTGTTTCCTTCTTTCTTGGTTTCTTTCATGATTAAAATTCTTATTCAAAGTTGTTTAATGTATCTATTCTACATTTTATATGGAAATACACAGACAACACATGAAGGAAGAACTTTATTTAATAAACATACAGATTATAGAAGGTCATTATTAAAATGTAAAGTTCCTGAACAACCGAGACCAAATTATTCAGGAGGAGAATTAGTAAGTGATCATTCATAATGAAATGAATGTTTTCTTTTTTGTTTCTATGCCCCCAAATGCCTTGGTACGGCCGAGAGTAGGGAGAGTCCACTCTCTCTCTCCAAATGTTCTAACATGGCCACGCGTATATAGACACTGACACGGAAGTCCTACTCACTGCCTTCTCGTGACATTACTGTTGTTTAAGAAATTAAGAGGAAGAAAAGTGAATGTCCGGCGCTTTAAACGTGTTGATCGACACGGAGGGTCCACCGAGGGGAGTTGGAAAACCCTGATTCCAAACTAATGGTGTACATGGGATCCAGTATCCTGATGGAACAAATGGCGTATTATTCAATGGTTGGTCACTGGCTAACATGGGACTGCATCTCCTCACGATGCTCCACTGCCTTGTGGATCAGTCATTTAGGTCAAAGGTTCCGAGTGTGGCCCCCTAAGAAAACCACCTGCTTCAGTCTGGGCACCTGAGCAGTATCACAGCCCTCACACAAATCAAATGAGATTTGTGAGGCGCATATGTATCTGATGCTTCCTTGTACCAATATTTATGTGTTTAAATGAATAAAATAAATTTATTTTTTATTATTCAATAAATGAGAAATTCACAATGAAATCTAATATCTAATTTTCACTACCCGATATATCTCATGTTAGCCATATATGTCAAACATTCTCCTTCGTTAACTGATTAATTCTAAGCACTTACTTATTTACGCCTGTTACCTCTCATGAAAGGGTATAGACCTCTCATCAACATTATCCAATCAGCCCTATCACGGGCAATCCTTTCCAGTTGTTTTTTTTTACAGTCGGTATTCATCATTTTCATGTCTGTTTCCAATTCCTGACTTAGTGTGTTTCTTGGCCTCCTTTTTTCCGTTTCCCTCTAGGATCCCAAGTTAGCGCTTCAAAGGAAGTAAAATATTTCATTAAAACAGCAATATTAGTCAATCAAATCCATTAATTATTTTACAATTGGAGTGAGACCAGTATGTATTGTGTTCGAATCTCGCGAGGCAAGGTCACGAATGCGCCTTGCTGAGGAGTCACATTATAGGACGAAACGACTATCTAGTGCTTCCAGTTTTTGCCATGGTGAACTAGCTTCAATTGACTCATGATCTCAACTATGGAAATATAAAAAGATGTTTAAAAATTCAAAACAAATTGAATTGTACATACTCATGTGTATGACAAAGATATTTTTCCAAAAGAATTTGTTTCAATTTCTTAAATGTCCATAGTTCAGATTACAGTTTTTTTCTGTGTTAAATGAAAACATTGATGAGGACCACCGAATGTATTTGAAGACAAAACCATACAGCAAATACTTCGTTTGCAAAATGTCAGTCAATCTCCTCAAACTTGATTGTTCTTTTACTGGCACACAAACCATTATCTGTACTATTCCCATTCTCTTCGATTTTCTTAACCTTCTGACATCAGTTATTTCAATGAAGTTTTGTTCTCTGAGCTGGATGGTTTGTTCTTGAAGCTTCACTTCACTTCTACTCGAAGTTTGTGCTGATGATGTCGTTCAGAAGGACAATGAAATCTCCACGACCAAACCATCCAGTTCAGAGAACAGAACTTCATCAAAATCATCCACCTGAGCTACAAATCTTCTCCACCATCTAAAAATCAGGTATTTCACTTTCGATTGATGATATATACTACTTATATTTGTCGATATCAGTAGCACAGACCGCAACGTCATTTGCTTATTATAATATCAACATTAGCTTAGCCTTTTAATATAATTACACATATCTTATAAGTATGTACTGATATTATATCTTTCTTGTTAAAAACATTATCCAACCATATAGGTTAAATATAATTGAAATCATGAGTCAATTGAAGCTAGACCCCTATAGAAAACCTGGAAGCACTGGACGGTCGTTTCGTCCTATATTGAGACTCCTCAACAGTGCGCATCCATGATCACATCTCGCTTGATTCGAACCCAAGACCTATTAGTCTTGTGCTCGAACACTTAACCACTAGACCATTGATCATATAGATTAAACTTTAATATAAACTACATCATTCTAACACCTAACTATCATTGTATGTCATACATTTAAACCAAATTGACCAGATACTTTTCTTCTTCTTCATAACTTGTTTATTTATCATCTGAAAGAGTTGGGATAATGAATTAGAAGAATTAGCTGGTAGACAAGCATCCGTATGTAATTTAAGTAGTGAATATAAGAAAAGTGAAATAGAAAAAGAATATCGTGATCAAATTGGTATCAATACAGCGGATAATTCGGATGTTATAAAGTAAGTCCATTTAAAGAAAGTAATTGAATGATAATCTTTCCATTTATAAAGAGCTGTGGAATCATGGTTTCATGAATATGAATTATATGACTTCACAAACAATGAATGTAAAGTTCGTAATGATTGTTTACATTATAAAAGGGTAAGTCAATATTATAAAATTAATGAAAAGATGTTTTGAACTAATCAATAATAATCAAATAGTAATATCAATAAATGATGTAACTACATTTTACAGCTGGCCCTCAAATGTCCTGTAACGATCGAGAGTGGAGAGAGTCCGCTCTTCCTCTGGAAATGCTCTCACTTGACCACCCGTATGTAGCCTCTGCCAGGGAAGTCCTACTCATTGCCTTCTCGTGACATTACTGTTGTTTACGAAAATTAGAGGATAAAAAGCGAATGTCCGGCACCTTAACCGGGTTGTGGACACGAAAAATCCACCGAGGGAAGTTGGGAAACCTTGATTCCAAACCAATGGTGTACATGAGCTCCAGTATACTAAGGGAACGAATGGAGTATGAACCAATTGTTTAGTCACCGACTGCCATGTAACTGCATCTCCTGACGATGCCCCACTGCATTATGGATCAGTCATTTAGGTCAAATGCTTCGGGTGTGACCCCCTTAGAAAACCACCTGTCTTGGTTCGGGCACCTGAGCAGTATCACAGCTCTCACACAAATCAAATCGCATATATATCTGGTGCCCATTTGTACCAATATTTATGTGTTTAAATAAATAAATAAGTCTATTTGAGTTATGGTTACATATGTGATTTGGAGTAACTATGGGTTACTGCTTGATTTTCAATGAATTCCTATGTGAATAGATTTATACACTAAATAAATGTCTCAATTGATTCTGGTCTACAATATTGGAAACATAAAAAAACTTATTATTATAAGAATAATTTTCATCATATCATTTTGAAAACATTTGAGAATCAATACAATACTTAGTTCTCTGAGCTGGATGATATGGTCGTGGAGCTTTCATAGTCCTTCTGAACGACATTATCAGCACAAACTTCAGGTAGAAGTGAAGTGTTTGATAGATTTAAGATAAACAAAAACCAATCAACATCGTGATGCACAGGACAAGCTGTGAATTACATGTGGAGAAATTCAAACACTTCACTTCTACTCGAAGTTTGTGCTGATAATGTTGTTCAGAAGGACGATGAAAACTTCACGACCAAACTATTCAGCTCAGAGAACAAAGCCCCATCAAAACCATCCACCTGAACTATAAATTTTCTCCACTATCTCACAATACATAGTATTAAGTAAAGATGGATGATGACTTATAATAGAATCCATAATGCACATTTCATCTTATTTGGAACTTGACAGCCAATGGTACTTGATTCGAATACTGGAATGAACATCAACTCCAAAATTATTATTTTATTTAAACACATGAATATTGATACAAAGGGGCACCAGATATATATGCGACATACAAGTCTCATTTCAGTTGTGTGAGGGCTGTGATACTGCCAAGATGCCCAAACTGCAGCAGGTGGTTTACTTAAGGGGTCACACCCGGAACCTTTAACATGAAGGTCTAGTCCACAAAACAGTGGAGCATCGTGAGGAGATGCAATCCCATGGTAACCGGTGACCAACGATTGATTCATATGCCATTTGTTCCTTCACGATACTGGATCCTATGTACACCATTAGTTTTGAATCAGGGATTTCCAACTCTTTTAGATGGATTCTCAATATCCACCAACTCTGTTAAAGCACAAGACATTCGCTTTTCGTCCTCTTAATTTCGTAAACAACACCCCTGGTGTGAGAAGGCAGTGAGTAGGACTTCCCTGGCAGAGGCTATATACGGGTGGTCAGGTGAGAGCATTTGGAGAGGGAGAGCGAACTCCCTCCACTTTCGATTGTACCAGGGTATTTGGGGACACCCAAATAGACTAAGAGATAGAATCTTTATTAACTAACATTCTTTAATAGCAAGTGTTTTAATCTTCCACTTGTTAGTTCTTTAATTAAAATTATATTATTTAATTCTATAGATTGTATGGGGTAGAGCTGAATTTATGGGTTGTGCAGTTGGACATTGTAATCCTAACACTGAAGTTAAATCAGGCCAAATAATTGTTTGTTATTATTCACCCATGTGAGTTTTTATTATTAAGATGTATGAATATGATTAGAATTATGTAATCAAAGAATATTCATTTTTTTTTAAAACACAAAAATAATTAGAAGGGTTCTTTTATGTGGAGATTTAGTATTTGCATAGTTGAAAGCATGAGTAGCAAAACTGGTAGGTTCTGGGTTCGAATCTTGTGAGCCGAGGTCGTGAATGCGCACTGATGAGGAGTCTCACAATAAGACGAAATAGCCGTTCAGTGCTTCCAGGTTTTCCTTGGTGGTCTAGCTTAAATTGACCAAAATAATTAACTAGATTTGATAAAAATACATATGAATTGAGAGAAGAAAATTTTCTTTTCGATGAAATCATTTACTTAAGCTATACATCCGTATTTATAGTCAATGGAAAATTTGTATCTATTATCAGAAGGGAGTTTTTGTGGAGATTGTAGTAGTTTAATCATTAAATTCATAAGTCAATTAAAGCTAGATCACTCTAGAAAACCTAGAAGCATTGGACAACCCTTTCGTCTTAGTATGAAACTCCTCAGCAGTGAGCATCCACGATCCCGCACGAGGGATTTAAACCCAGGCCCTTCACTCTCATGCGCGAATAGTTAACCTCTATACCACTGATCTGGTATCCAACGGTGCTGATGTCTAACTTTAACCAATTCACGAAATTGCAACATCGTCCATCATTGTCGTCAGTAAGTTACAATCTTCACATTAGACCCTGTTGAGCGTACCGTTGAGGAGTCCCATACTGGGACGAAACGGTCGTCTATTGCTTTTAGTTTTTCCATGGTGGTCTAGCTTTAATTGATTCATGAACTCAACTACTAAATTATTACAATCTCCACAACCCCCCCCCCTGAAAATAAACCAATATCATATTCAAATATAGTACTTTATGTATGGATTTGTTAACAGTAAGATTTATACAGATCACATATTTGACAATAATTGAATGATAACTTACTGTGTGAACACATACTTACCATATTATCCAATTAACCCTCTATAACCAACACATGTAACTAACCACGATTATATGTCACGATCGATTGGAGTCATTACTTCTCATATCACTTAGGCACCTCCCCTCAATAGAATTTACATAAGTTATGGTATCTACTGATTAAAGAAAATGACAAGCAATTTGTTAATTCAATACAACAAATGTCATTCTATGTTTTCTTTTAAAAGAAAAACAACCTTATTTTTTATCATTTTAGGGGTGATGTGAAAGTGTCACAGCCATACGTAGAGAATAAAATTGATCCCTGCCATCATCCTCCAATAACAACAACAACAACAACGATAAAGCCAATTACAGTAACTAGAAAATTACAAATGGGTCCATATGGTCGTTATCGTTGTGATTGTAAATGTCAACCTTAATACTTTATGTAACATAAAGACACTCAGATCCATTTTGTATTTTCTATATACATAAACTCATGTAAACGGCTATTGTTGGTATACTATTAGAGTATTGTTGTTTTTTCACATATTATTTTATCAGAATGGAGTTCTGTTGTGATTGTAGTAATTTAATAGTTGAACTTATGAATCAATTAAAGTTAGACTACTATGGGAAACCTGGATGAACTAGACAACCGTTTTGTCCTAGTACATGACTCCTCAGCAGTGTGTATCTATGATCCTGCTTGCGAGATTCAAATTTTCTTTTATACAACTTTCTTCATAACATTTAGTTATCGGTAACTTAGCTGTGAAGATTTAATCATTTGAAGATGAACGGTATTTTCAGAGTTATAGAATTCTTGTGATATATGAAACTGATTTCAACAATTTTATATCACCATTCATGGAAAGTTATCATTAGTACTGATATGCTTGATGCTATTATGAGTTCACCTTACTCAGTAAAATGAAAGAATATCAAAGATGCAGTGACGTGATAGGCTATTCTAATCCATTGTCCCCGGTTCTCTTAACTAAATCAAGAAGTCTTGTTAAGGCGTAGAGTATGCATTCTACAACCACTGAGAAAATACGAGGTCACTAAGCACATAAATCAAGCTTATTTATATAATGACAGAAACGCCCTTGGGAGATCCACAAAATAGGGTACAAAGAAAAGCCCGTCAACCAATGACAGTCAACGGAAATGTAAGCTGTAGATTAATTAAATGTCTCTTGGCGCGAAAACACAAAATTCAAGTTTTCAGAATAGAATAAGAAAATTAAGACCTTTTCCAAGTGAGTTCTAGGGATCTAACGTCGTCAACAAGTATGAATAAGATAAGAAGTATAACGTATCTTATCTTTAATAAAAGATGTTTATTTGAAGTTCTTTTGTAAACATATTCCATAAAATTAGTCTTGTGAACAATATTGAGAAGTTCAAAATCAAAATATGTATATGATCAATGTATGTTGTTCAAATTGATTTATGTAGTGATTTGATTCAATAAGTCTTTATTTGCTAGCCTCACTTCTAACTTGATTCAAATACTTACTTGCTTACTTACGCCTGTTACCCCAATCAAGCATAGGTCGCCGATCAGAATTTTACCAACTCAATCTGTCATGGGCATTCCTTTCAACTTCTATCCAGTTTAAGTTCATTCTTCTCATGTCTGTCTCCATTTCTCAGAGTAATGTATTATTTGATCTTGCTCTTCTCCTTTGGCCTTCAAGATTCCATGTAAGGGCTCGCCTTGTGACGCAGTTGGGTGAGTTCCTCAAAGTGTACCCTATCCACCTCCAGCGCCTCTTCCTGATTTCTTCCTCCACTGGAATCTGGTTTGTTCTCTCCTACAGTAGAATGTTGCTGATAGTGTCTTACCAACGGATCCGAAGTATCTTGCGTAGACAACTGTTGATAAACACTTGTATCTTCTGGATGATGGCTTTCATAGTTCTTCAGGTTTCCACACCATACGGTAGAACTGTCTTGACATTTGTATTAAAAATTCTGACTCTAGTGTTGGTTGACAATTGTTTTGAGTTCCAGATGTTCTTCAGTCGTAAATATGCTGCTATTGCTTTGCTGATCCTCGCCCTCATATCTGCATCAGATCCACTGTGTTCATCGATGATGCTGCCCAGATATAAATAAATATATATATATATAGGTAAATGATTTTCAGATTGTCATTACCTCTTGAGAAACCGCTAGAATAAAATTATTATAATGAGGGAATTTTATTTATACAAAGATGCTGGATAAACTTATTCAATTTAAAAATGAATTGTACATATTTGAAATACATCTTGATAAGAGTAGTGGATAAATATCCCATCATCCTTTATTGTCAAACATATAATCGAAACAGGTCATAAGATTGATCTTAACTCGGCTTTTGTGGTGTTGTATAAAAGTGTAAAAGGGTGTATACTTAGGTTTATTGAAGCCTTAACCATATGAAATTTAAACACCCTTTGTGTATTCAAAAACAGTTTGTTCTCACCTTAAACCTATCATGGTAATATTAGCTTATTAACCAGAAGTGATGAGGTGTCAAATTGTTTTCACATTAATATTATTATCTTTGTCTACTCTTACACCCCCCTCATTTCCAGTCTAATTGACCTTTTATTTTTATACATAAATGGTCCTAACAAGTATATTATGTGTGATCAGATTGATTTGAAATGTTTTGCGTTAATATATCATCACATAGTTCTGATAATCTTTGTCTCATCATTACACTATCGAGACATCTCATATCAATATCAACGTGATTCTTTTTTTCTTGATTACATAAGTTAAATCTTGATTCTGTTATCAAAGTTATACTCATAATTAAATGTTCACTACTACCAAATTATCGCTTGCAAATGTCCTTATATGGCCGAGAGTGGGGAGTACCCACCCTCTCTCTCGAAATGCTCTCATATGGCCAGCGAATATATAGCCTCTTACAGGGAAGTCCTACTCACTGCCTTCTCGTTGCGGGGGTGTTGTTCATGAAAGTCAGAGGACGAAAAGCGAATGTCCGGCGATTTAACCGGGTTGTGGACACGGAAAGTCCACCTAGGGGAGTTGGAAAACCCTGACTCCAAACCAATGGTGTACATGGACTCCAGTATCCTGAGGGAACAAATGGCGTATGAATCAATTGTTGGTCATTGGCTACCATGGGATTGCGTCTCCTCACGATGCTCCACTGACTTGTGGATCAGAACTTTAGGTCAAGGTCTCCGAATGTGGTCCTTTAAGAAAACCACCTCCTTCAGTTTGGGCACCTGGGCAGTATGACAGCCCTCACACAAATCGAATGAGATTTGTGTGGCGCATATATATATCTGGTGCCCCTTTGTACTAATTATTTATGTGTTTAACTAAAATAAGTCAAATTATCATTTATTTTATTACTTATTCAATTTTTTTGTCTTAGGCGATAAAAGGTTAAATTTAGAATCGGTTAAGCTAATCATATAGTTAAAGTTCTTGCAGTCAACATAAGAATTTCGTCTTATAAGAAATAATATAATCAGTTGTTTGTGCTACTTATAACAGAGTGTAGATCACCAATGGGAATGATGAAGTCTACTCAATTCGGAAGGAAATGCAATTACCTCATTGCATTCATCAATGTTGCATCTTGAATTTATTGCCTAATTTGTCTTATCCTGGCAGCCTCAGCAGTATTAGGTCTTAATATAGAAAAAAGGAACAACAAGACTCTGTAATACAGTACAACGTACATCAATCGAATTACACTTGACGGAAAAGCTTTGGAGGATGTGAAAACTTTTACATATCTGAGCAGCATCATCGATGAACACAGTGGATCTGGTGCAGATATGAGGACGCTGATCGGCAAAGTAAGGGCAGCACACCTACAACTGAAGAACATCAAAACAATTGTCAACCAACACTAGAGTCAGAATTTTTAATACAAATGTCAAGACAGTTCTACCGTATGGTGTGGAAACCTGAAGAACTATGAAAGCCATCATCCAGAAGATACAAGTGTTTATCAACAGTTGTCTACGCAAGATACTTCGGATCCGTTGGTAAGACACTATCAGCAACATTCTACTGTAGGAGAGAACAAACCAGATTCCAGTGGAGGAAGAAATCAGGAAGAGGCGCTGGAGGTGGATAGGGTACACTTTGAGGAACTCACCCAACTGCGTCACAAGGCGAGCCCTTACATGGAATCTTGAAGGCCAAAGGAGAAGAGCAAGATCAAATAATACATTACTCTGAGAAATGGAGACAGACATGAGAAGAATGAACTTAAACTGGATAGAAGTTGAAAGGAATGCCCATGACAGATTGGGTTGAAGAATGCTGGTCGGCGTAAGTTAGCTTATCCTGTAGGAAAAATTAGGTTAATCAGCTCTCTTAGTGACATAGTGTAATAAGTAGAATCCTAACAAAACAAAAGTATGTGTTATTAAGAACAGATTAGAGTAGAACGGAATGAAGCTACTGCTATATAACCCAACCTATGACGTACAACTGATTAATCCGCGTTAGTCGCTCTTGATCTTAACGATGTTTGTACAGTTTCCGACTTTCAGTGACTTAATATCTAGCGTATTAACGCTTCAGTTTGTTGGATGGTTTGAGCTGAACGCAGTGGCCCTTTAAAAGTGTAGGACTATGATGTAGCTGCATGTCATTAAGATCCAAATATGTTGCATTTATGGCATATTAATTGACGGAAAAGTGATTTAATCGGAAATAACTACGTAACCAGCGGTGACGAGTAGAAGGGCGTCAATAATTCATTTCAGATCTTCCGATAACTAAATTTAATGTTTTTAAAGTTAGACGTCATGAGCGCCAATCTCTCAGTGATTGCTTCATATACTTTCTGCAATCAATCGCAAATGGTTTTCTTTGACTACAAAAAGTCATGCAGGAAAGAAAACGTTGCCACAGTTCATTGCAGTAATGCTTCCTATATGCATATTTACTAATAAACGGCAGTTGGAAAGGTCATCTGTGCAGTGTGTTATAAAGTAGTTCCTGTTCCTTGAACTTAGATCTGTATTCTAACCGGTCTCATTGTATAAAATAAATATTAATCATTCTCCATTTCCTATGTTTTAACTTCTGATCATGTCTCGTATAACCATAACTTTACATTTCTAAATATTCTTCCCTTAAACCCTTGTTTACAGATTGTCACGTTTTGCTGATAATATTCTTGTAGGTTTTCAGATGTCATTTGTGCTAGGAAAGCCTTGAACTGTTAAGGTACCTTGTATTTTTATTATAAATGGGTGTTTTTGGTTTAGAACTCTAGTAGATGAGAACAAAGTATGTGTTCCGATATAATTAGATACAAGTGACTTCAAAAGAATTTGTAAATTATGCAGTAGAGCGTAGTTAGGCCTAATCTAATAAACGGGTTTGGTGGGTGGTTTTCTGCTCTCAGATAATGTAATCCATTTTTTGGTATATATGAGCCACTCCTGCTATTCCAGTTAGCTTTCGAGATACTACATGAAGTAATTGCAAGGTTCATCCTATGAAGACTTGTACTCGTATTCACAATGAAAGATCAAAGATTGGTATAAAAACCGGTTCTAGCTAATAAGATCTAACTTTGAAAGAAGTTAATCGGACTCACAAGTTCCCAACTCTCTTCTCGGATAACTGATGGAGATGCCACAGGCATTTGTATATTGACAACACCTTAACCAGTAACACCTGTAATGGAATCGTGCCCACCCAGTCAAATCAAAAGTCAGAGGCAAAGAGGTTTGAAGATATACGTGATAGATTATCAATGTTAGATCCATTTTGAAAGTGAAAATCCCTCCATGCATACATTTGTGATTTATTCCTTGTGCTTTCTTTATTTGTATATATTGTTAACTTTTTGATGCTAATTAAGTCTGTAACGTTTAATTTTCTTGGTTTTTCTTATTGTTTTTATTGAGTCTCTATGTTCCTTTCTAAACTGTATTTAGTTTGTTTAATTGTTATTATTCTGGCGGCTGCCATACTGACTGCTCGCTCTTTGATTGTACGGTTTGATTTTGACTGGGATCGTGCATTTTTGGTTGTAATTTGGAGCACTTTCTCAGATATTGGAACACTTTATGTTATAAACCAGCCGCTCAAACGGAATCTTACTTGATCTATCCATAAGTGATAGAACAACACTCACCATTCGGTGTTTTCGGTAATTTTCATATATTTCTTACCACTTTGCTACTCATTGTAATTTAGATTGAATATTTTGGTATCAATTGTCTGTTGAATAACTGGGTGGTAATATTTGTTTAGAACCGTTGTTACTCAAAACACTTTGTTCTGATTTCGATTGGGTCACGAGTCTATAAATCTACTCCCTCGTTATTCGGCCACACCCAGACCTATTGGAATCTAGGTTTGGATATTACAATCAATATATCGAGAAGTGACTGGTCTAATCTGGTTAATGATCGTAGGAGATGTTTCGCACACCATTCCAAAACGTGATCTGGTACGGATGCATGACCGAGCGCCTTCAGCTAAATGAGTTCACTAAAACTAATGTGGTCAGCATCTAATGTTGAACACTTACAGAGTTACTGATTTTGGGGATTTATTTACAGCTACAGATCACTACCCCCGTAGTGAGGTAGTGATGACCCTACGACGTAGCCAGCCAGAAGTGTAAACCCAACGAGTTTGTCGTTGGTAAGCACTTTTCTGATAGCTTGCTATGTCTAGCACCGTCTGGTCGTCTTTCCTTACTATAAAAGGCCATGTGGTACAACATAATAATGGAGAAACGGGTACAATGAGAGTTTCGATTGATCATAAACTTTGTCGTCTTTTCCAGACGTCCTGGATATGCAAGTGTACGTCGAATTACACTAATACGTGCGTGAAAACATAAGGCGGGAGACAAAAACTCGTACACATGTGGTAGAGTAAAAGCGATTTTTACAGAATGGTTTTTTTGAAAAAAAAAAATTAAATACACACATTCGCGAACAAAAACTTCGTTTTTTAAAAAAATAAATATGTATGTATAAGCATATTAAAATAGTTTTTTTACATAATACAAAAAAAATCGAGTCGAAACACGACTGCTTGTTATCCCTAACTTTTTCTCACCCCAACAGCATGGTTTCAGGAAGGGTCACTCTTGTATAACCAACTTGCTGACCGCGGTGGAGAGATGGACAAGCATCCTTGATCGCTAGGGGAGGGTCGACATTATTACCTTCATTTCTCTAATGCTTTTAATACGGTCAACCATATTTGTCACATCAATAAGCCTAAACTATTGGGAATTAAACCACCTCTGATTGACTGGCTCACTTCATATCTAGAAAACCAACATTTTAAGGCCAGGGTTAACTTCACTTTCTCTCAGGCTACTGGGGTCCTCCAGGGATCAATACTAGGACCATTTCTCCACTTGATTCACATTAATGATTTTACACAACAAGTATCGTCTGACTTATTGCTTTTCGCTGATGATGTGAAACTTTGGAGAGAGATACGCAGACAAGAGGATAAACTGACACTTCAGGAGGATCTGACTCGACTCTAAAGTTGGGCAGACGACAACGGACTTAGCTTTAACACTTCACAGTGTAAAGTAGTCCATCTGCGAGATGTTGTAAACTCCAGTTACAACTTATGGAACTCCTCTATAGAAGTACCTCAAGTCGAAAAGGATTTAGGAGTGTTGGTACCCTATGACTTGAAGTCGCACGCCACGTGTGACAAAAACGCCTTTCAAGCAAACCTTGAACTGGTAACATTGAAGCTCATTTTTGGCAATTTTGACGGCAGAACATTCCACATAATCTTTAACAGCTTTATTCTCTCTCATTTAGAATACGTAAACATAGTATTTCCTCCCATATCTCTAAAAGGATAAGGACACTCTGGAACGTATCCAACTTCGAGCCACGAAATCATTTCGGGGACTCAAAATCAAACATTATGAAGAGCTCTTCCAATCACTTAGCCTTTACCCGTCAGAGTACAGGCGTCTTAGAGGTGACCATTTTATGGCTTACAGTATCCTTAATACTTCTGGTCATCCCCTTAAACATCTACTTAAGCTTAGTCCCAATACTAACCCAAGGAGTAACACCCAGAAACTGGAGACCCAACATAGCAGAACGGACTGTAGACACAGCTTCTTCTCCCTAAGAGTTGCCAAATGCTGGAATTCGCTGCCAACTAAGCTAGTCCAAGAAACTTCCCAGGAGTCCTTTAAGAGGAAACTTGACCTATTCTTAAGGACTAAGGATAACATCTTATTATGATTTACCGATTTCTCTTTTTTCGTATTATCGTTAATATACCTAGGGTCCTGCCTGGAGGTATTGGTGATCCACTGCTACTAGACACGGAAGCCCATTAAGCGAAAGCTTTTTCTATTCGTCCACAACCAATTGAATTATCTGAATAGAAGCCCGGTAGTTTTGGTTACTACGTTACCCTTCGCAACTCGTGTTTCAGAGTTTGAGATTACTTCAGATTCGTTTTTGGGACATTGATGTAATTTGTTCTCTGTATAAAAGAATTAATTTACAGATAGTCGGTCTGTCATATAATTAGCGAACCTTGTTCTACATGATCCAAATTAGTATCAGTAATATTTGTAAAAGTACTCAAATTCAATTAGGCATATGATATATGAACTGTTCAGCTGAAAGATCGGGGAATTCTGAAACGAATTTCATCCGTTTTTACAAATAAAAAATGTGATAGATGTGAACGTCTTATTTATCACATTTCTCAGCAACCACATACGACCAGCCTTTGCTATTTATGAGTTCTAATTTATCTGTGGGTCATTATGATTGTGGTTAGTAGTGTCTTGTATATTTTTATCTGGCTGGATCTTATGATTATCATAGAAAATTTTCTCCCCAACTTCTCACAAACAACATTTGAATTTTGTTCATTAGTATAAATAAAAGGATAAGCGAATTACAAATGAATCTGTTTACAACAGCATTGGCGTTATTTGCACTAAGCTTAAACGTTTTTTACTCCCGTCATAACACATACCAGACCATAACAACTATCACTGATGAGGTTTCAGTTTTAGTTTGGCCAATGTTAGTCTCTGTATTGGTGATCTTTCAGATGATCCAACTTTCTTTTAAAAGTATCGACAGATGGAGATTCAATCCTGCGCTGATTTGATGAATTTCACTCTTTGATGATTCGATGAAAAATTCGATAGTCAGCTGACAAGTAATTTGTTCTGGACTTGTGAACTTTTTAAGGGTGTCCTCGTAGATCCACCGTTTTCAAAGACAAAGAAAGTTAGGGCATATCAGACGCGTTTTCATCACTAAATAATTTAAAAATTGTGATTATGTTGCCTATGGTTCTTCTATATCACAGGGAAAAGATTTAATTTGGCCAGTTTGTCATCGTACTGGATCTTTGAGATCCCGTGGATTAAGGTAGTTGCGGTTCTCTGAACCCTTTCAACAACTCACTGTCTCTTTAGGCAGGGGCTAGCCGTACTCGCAGTACTCAAATTTAGGACGTAAAAAGACTATACAAGTCTGGAAGGTTTTTTGAATGGACGTGGCTAAAGGCTCTACGTACGACCACAAGTTTCTGAAATCTTTGGCATCTATCGAATGGCAGTGTGCAGTAGTTTTTTAATCTCGGCCAACTCCTAGATCATTATGTAACTGGACAACAGGTATTTCACTGCTATGCACCGTGTATGTATCTGTACCTTGGTGACCAATATGCACCATAATGCACTTGGAATAACTTATGAAAAACTGCCAAATTTCGACCATTTAGATCACTTTTCCAGATCACCGTTGTTGACAGCAATATGTAAATCAAACCAGAATTTCACGGCCACCCCCAAATGCCAAGGTACGGTCGAGGGTGGGGAGGGTCAGCTCTCCCTCTCAAAATGTTCTCACATGGCCGCGTGCATGAAACCACTGCCAGGAAAGTCATACTCAATGCCTTCTCGCGGCATTACTGCTGTTTACGAAATCGAGAGGACAAAAGTCGAATTTCCGGTGCTTTAGCCGGGTTGGTGGACACGGAAGACCCACCTTGGGGAGTTGGAAAACCCTGGCTCCAAACCAATGGTGAACATAGGCTCTAGGATCCTGAAAGAACAAATGGCGTATGAATTAATCGTTGGTCACTGGCTACCATGGGAATGTATCTTCTGACGTTGCTCCACTGCTTTGTGGGTCAGACCTTTAGGTCGAAGGCTCTGGGTGGGGCCCCTTAATAAAATCACCTGCTTCGATATGGGTACCCGGGTAGTATCACAACCCACAGGCAAATCAAGTGACTTATGTGGCGCATATGTATTCGGTGCCCCTTTGTACCAACATTTATGTGTTCAAATAAATAAAATAAAATGTTGTAACTAACTAATTCACACGTCCCACTCTCATGGGATAATATTTCGAATGAATGGAACTGCTCCTCCTCCTCCTTTACGCTTCTGGATTCTGTCGGCTCTTACTAGTGTGGAACTTTCTAAATCATGTTCCCTACTGTCTACAGACTGAGTCAGCCAAGTTTCTTTAACGGTGATTACATTGGCTTGGTAGGGTCTATATGTACACATAGCTTCGATCGCTTGCTGAACAAGCTCCGGACATTTGTGTAACAGATCTGAAGACCATTTAAATGCCTTCGTGCTGCAAACAAAGTGGCTTCAACATCATTCTCTATTGAAGCCTCATCATCCGAAAATTTAAAACTAAGGTCCTTCTCGACATCACCTAATTATAATTTTTGTTGCTTTTCAGCTTCTCATCTTTTCATATGATTCCCCAGCGGTAGTCGGATTGGCACTTTGCGACAACCCAATCAAGCTGTATTAGGTGGATTACTTGTTATTAAAAATCCATCCTAGCTAAGCAGATCTATTATAAAGCTGTAAGAATTGCTTACATTTGTTCAATAAACCAATTAAGATCAATGTGAATGGCTACGTTTTTAATAACATAAAATCTAACTGATAGGTTCTGCAGTTCACTCGATCAATCGTTTTTACACTTCATAAATACGTCAATTTGAGTCATCAATCTGTCTAAGCGTCTTGAAATCATTACAAGCCTACAAAATAAAATATACTCAACTCTTCATCATCAGGTCTGTGCACCACTCCCTTTTCGCGGTTCTGTCCTCTTGACATGAAAAACACCAGGATATGTATTTATTATTCGTATCAGCATGACAATTTAGTGCTGAGATTAAATATTGCCAGATTTATAAAACATTGTCACGAGAATTATCGTAAACACAAAACCGATCTAATACTTAGAGTAATATTCTTTTATTCTACACTCTAGTTTCATGTTTATTGACTTCATTTTCGCCCCTTATACTTTATTTAAATTCTTATGAGTTCTATAATACGTGTTGTGTATCTTATTCAATAACTATGCAAAATGTTATTTTGGTTTGAGCTTATTGGTGTACTTTATTGTGCCCAGTTATCTTTAATTCATGGTAGTTTCGTCTTGCTATTATCGATTGTAGGTTGAACATCAGTAGTTGGAACAGACTTATCATACGCTTCCAATAATTTGGCGGACGTTCTTATTATTTGGCAACCTAAAATTTTCTATTCATGACTCGTGACTCCAACCCTCAGTCCTCCACTAACGAACGTTTTCAAAATGTAACTTTTTGTTTCAATACTAAAATATTTTTGCATTTTAGATAGACATATTCAAATGCAACTTCTTTACACAGTTTCCTTTGTCTAAAGAAACCTTGAAGGGGTTAAAATTGTCAGGTTACACAAAGCCTACTGCGATTCAAAAGCTAGTCTTAAAACCTGCCCTTCTTGGACAAGATGTGGTTGCTGAAGCACCTACTGGTAGTGGCAAGACGATTGCTTTTGCAATCCCTGTGCTTGAACTTCTTCATCAAAACAAAGTTTCCATGTTTGATGGTCCAGTTGCTATAATTCTTACACCAACTCGTGAACTATCAAGACAGATTTTCAGCGTATTTGCCAAAATCGCTCGTGAACACCATTTTACTATGATGAACATTATGGGCGGCAAAGTCTCGGTAGGTTTGGTTTTTCAACTCAATGCACCGAATGGAAATCATCTAGTTGGAAAAAAGCATTATATTTTTAAAACCTTCAACTAACATGTAAACGAACCTTATTCGATCTAGCTCCTTGTTACCCTATTCTTTAGTTTTGAATTGAATAGTAACACTTATTCTCTTACTAAATATATAAATAGTAGCGAAATAGTTATAGCATTCGTGCTTTATCAAATAGGTTACAGGATTGAATTCGATCCACTTAATTTAGCACAAGCAACAGTATGGCTTAAATTCGAGTATATAAACAAGTTCTTGATAGATAAGTTATATTTACAATCGATTGATTATTGAGAAGTGACCAATATCATTTATACCAAGTCTTTGTTAGCGTTGATCAAATTTCATCGATTGACTTGCAATGTGATCACTAGTCTGACTCGATATCGCGTACACTGTTAGGATGTAAGCTGGTGGTTTGAGATAATTGATAGGAAACCTTAGACTCAGTTTTCATGCTATTTGGCACTTGTCGGCAAAGTGTATCTGTGATATTAAGGGAACTGATACTTTCTGGCGGATTCGATCTCGCATCACTCAGCTTCACAGTCAGAGGCGTTACCAATGGGCCTTTTGAGCCGCAACTGACCTCCTATAGGACTGAGCTACACTCAGAATTGAATAGCTCTGACTGTGAGTCTGAGTAACGCGGGACCGAATTCTTCAGAAAACATCAGTTCCCTCAATGTCAAAGGTACACCTTGCTGACAAGCGTCAAATAGCAAATAGTCCAAGGTTTCCTGTCGACTACTTTCAACTACCAAATTACATAACTTAGATTGTTATTCATTTTTAAAAGTCATTTTATTCAAATTTGTGTATTCAGGATGGACGTATCACAATTTCTGTCAGTACACTTTTTAAGCTAGGGTTTCTCACACAGTCATTAATGACAAACCGTGTAATAGTTAGATGAGATTGACAGAAATCTCTAAACTGAAAATTCTTGCATGTTGATAATTATTTATATGACAGATTTCTTATGTCAAGGAGAATGATGCACTTTTAGCGATTCAAATGTGCGACTCTCAACACTAGAGTTTCAGACGTATCCAATATGACATTCGAACTCCAATCAATTCCTTGTCTCGTTGGTCAAAAAATAATCTCTAATTCGATTTATCAATTTTAAATTGTTCTCAGTAGGACTAGCACCAAAATAAATAACACGGATCCGATTCTTCAGATAGGATATCAATTACTGTAATCTTACAAATATCGACTGAATAGAATGCTGTTAACCATGAAACCTAAACGAAACCAAAATTATTCCCATTATCATTGAGCAGATAATGATGGCCGTCTGCTGCAATTATGCTTAGATAACCGTTTATTCCTGGCTAGCACCAGACTTAAGTACAAGGAAAAACATCGTCTGACATGGCGACCCCCACAATCGATTCAAAGATGAACGTAAATATATTACATTGCCATTAGCCGTCGTAGGTGGCTCGATAAAATACTACCGTTCATTCTGGAGCACATGACTCAGATTACGTTACAGTACGAGCGCGTCTACTGAATTGAAGTATGCACGGAAGCTCACCCCGTCTGGTTCCAAACACGATAACGTGCGGAGGCAGCCTAGGTGTAGGGTGATTAAGAGCCCACGTAATGATCGTGAGCAGTGTAGGGAGCGAAAGTGAGAAATCAAAAAAGTATCAGATTTATGTAGCAGTAAACAACTAAAACTTATCAAAGAAATAGGTATTTAAAATCCGTCTGTTAGTCCAAGAGTCCAGACCGCTGGTCAAAACACTTTAGGAAACAGTTCAACTAGCCCTCAGCCACACTTCAGTTACCCTCTTGTCTCCAAGCAACTTGAATGGGAAATTGACATAAATTCTTTAACTTGTAGTGAGGTTGAAAAGGTAATCTAGAGTGAGAGAAAGTAGCAGTTTCAGATGGATTAGCCTCGGGAATCTTTGTGGATAGTCCTGTTTTTGGCAGTTAGATTGACTGAGATTTTGGCTTGAATCTGAGAACTGGACATAATCCCATCTGACTGGTCTCGATTGCTAATAATCTCACTTTATAAAAAGAGGAAAATCCTTCTGTAACAAAGAAATCAGTTTAATTAATACATTGACTGAGATGTAAATACGGAGACCAAATATTCACCTTTTGTCAGGTTCTGGAACACGTATACCGACTTTCAACCATAATTGTACTTCTCGACCTTAAGATAGCATTTGATGCTGCAGATCGGCAAGTTCTGTGGTAGTGCTTGTCCATTGAAGCCCGTACCAAAGAAATAAATCAACCTTGTATAGTCCTCTACTCGAACATTACTTGTTAAGTCAACACTTACGGTGAACCATCATCAGAATTGTCAACCCCAAGTGGTGTTCGTCAAAGCTATTGACTTTCTCCATTTTTATTTAACTTCATCACATATATCCTTTTAGAGAGAACGGTATCATCGTCTGACTTCTCATAGGTTAATCTTCTATTAGGATATATGGTTATTGACTTGTAATACACAGATGGTATTATTTTGTTTGACGAAAACTGATAAGGTGCTATCATGTGACCATCTTGAGTAACGATGAAAGCATGTTTGATATGTGATTTTCTCCCTCTAAATTCAAAATGTTGTTTCAGGAATGGCCTACCTCAGCACCTAAATTTATGATAGGAAGTGAAGGAGTTGAACTTATTAACTCCTCCTATATTGGAGTTCTGATTAGCCTCTATGGTCTGGTGTGTGACGTAATCTCGGGACGAATTCAGAAGTTTTGATTGGGTTTTGGACACTGTCACTCGTCTGTCAACCAAAGGATGAGTTTACTGCGCAATATTTTGCTTCGTTCCACTTCATGAGTGCAAAATATAAGTATTAAGAATAGATGATATTCATAGGTTACTAGTGTTCGATCATTAGATGTCTTTGAAGCAATGTTCATGTATTTTGGTATCACCGACTAAGCATTGCCGAGGTTAGGGATATACGAGTAATAATTACTTGTGATTATGACCTAGTGACCATTTAGATGCTAAGTAGAAACCTTCTATCAGCCAAATAAATATATTGAACGTATATCTACAACCGACAGATTGTGCATACCATTAAATACACAACCTACTGTAAAAACATCTTTCGCGTCACTGAGAATAACTTCATTCTGCATTTATATTTTGTACAAAATTCATTTAGTGTTTTGAATGGGCCTCACGTGATGAAATGGCAGAAACTCTCGTTCTCACAAGCTTTTAATTGTCTTAGGAATTTTGCTTCTGTTGAAAATTTTATACCAACAAGTATCTCCTGTAAATCATATCAACACTAGTTGAAATGGACATGACAGACAATACCGATGATCTTCATTGTAATATAATACTGACAATCTAAGTTCACTACTTTCGTGATTTCAATAATAAGGATTTCATTGACCATCTAAGATTATTATTTATGTTTGTGTCGGAGGGGTAATAGTGAATGGTGTGGGTGAAGATTTTTGAAAAGTTTTATACTCATCTAAGGTTTTCTTTTAAGCTGTGGTTAAAATCAGATTTTTGTGCAATCTAGTATACTGCTCGGGTGGGACTCCTCGACAGTGCGCATCCACGATCCCGCCTCGCGAGATTCGAACCCAGGACCTACCAGTCTCGCGCCAGAGCACTTATAACCGATAGACCACTGAGCCAGCCGGCATCCAACGGTGTTAATGTCTAACTTCAACCAATCCACGATGTTTGAACAACCGTTCACCAATTGTGTTCAGTGAGTTGATATCTACAACAGACTTGGTTGAACTTCACTGGTCACTGCTTCTCAATAGAACTCAAGGAAACATACCATAATAGGACGAAACGGCCGTCCTGTGCTTCCAGGTTTTCCATGGTGGTCTAGCTTCAATTGACTCATGATTTCAACCATGAAAATACTGAAATCTCTACAAAACCCCTTCTGATTTTCACTTATTGTCGAAATTTTGGTAAACTATGGGCCCTCCATCCATATACCACTGGGTTGAACTTGAATTTAACTGATTAGATTATTTGTATACTTTCAACATAGGATGTGATTTTTAAAGTTTATTTTGGTTTGATATCCAGTGTTATATTGTTCTTCATTCATTGTAGGTTTTAAAAAATCAAGAATGGAATAGTATATCACGAGCAAATATTCTAATAGGAACTCCTGGTCGAATGGCTCAACATCAAACGGAAAATTCACTACTTGATACATCTAATTTAAAATTACTTATATTAGATGAAGCTGATAGATTGTTGGATCCAACTTTCCGTGAAGATTTAGAAGTGATTCTTCAAAATTTAACTCCTGATCGACAAACTCTATTGTTTTCAGCCACTTTAACAAAGTAAATTTATGAAAAAATTGTCATTTCTTAGTTGATTTTTAAAAACTAATATATTTTTCAAAGTTGAAACCATTAGTCAATTGAAGCTAGACCACCATGGAAAACCTGGAAGCACAGGACGGCCGTTTCGTCCCATTATGGGACTCCTCAGCAGTGCGCATCCACGATCCCGCACTCGTGAGATTCGAACCCAGGACCTACCAGTCTCGCGTCAGAGCCCTTAACCGATAGACCACTGAGCCAGCCGGCATCCAACGGTGTTAATGTTTAAGTTCAACCAATCCACGAAGTTGAGCAACCGTTCACCAATTATGTTCAGTGAGTTGTTATCTCGCAACAGACGTGGTTGAACTCCATATTAGGACGAAACAGCCGTTCACTGCTTTCAGGTTTTCCATGGTGGTCTAGCTTCAATTGACTCATGGTTTCAACTTTGAAAAATACTGAAATCTCCACAAAACCCCTTCTGAACTAATTTATTGTTCATTCAACTAAGAAGAATCAATATTTTATGTTGTCATACTCCCTGTTTGCAGTGACCTTCTTTAATGTCAAATCTTAATAAAAACGACTATGTATTAGAGTTTCTGGTTAGCCTACGATACTTACAAATCAAAGAATGATTAAACCAACATGGATGGTTCTATTGAGGAATCGATAACGATAGCTGGCACACAACATTTTAACAATAAGGCGCTTACACAGAAATAAGAAAACATGTAGGGAAAACGTGATATTCAAACAGGACAGCTTGAAATAGTACAACTCAGTATTACATAATAAGAAAAAGTCCCCAAATGCCCTGGTACGGCCGAGAGTGGGGAAAGTCCGCTCTCCCTCTCCAAATGCTTTCACATGACCATGCGTATATAGCCTCTGACAGGGAAGTCTTACTCACTACCTTCTCGTGGCATTCCTGTTGTTTACGAAATTGAGAGGACAAGAACCGAATGTCCGGCGCTTTAACCGGATTGGTGGACACCTAGGGTAGTTGGAAAACCCTGATTTCAAACCAATGGTTCACATGGAATCCAGTATCCTGAGGGAACAAATGGCGTACGAATCAATCGTCGGTCACCGGCTACCATGGGACTGCATCTCCTCATGATGCTCCACTACCTTGTGGGTTCGACCTTCAGGTCAAAGGCTCCGGATGTGGCCACTAAGAAAACCACCTGCTTCATTTTGGGTACCTGGGCAGTATCATAGCCTTCACACAAATCAAATGAGATTTGTGTGGCGCATATTTATCTGGTGCTTCCTTGTACCAATATTTATGTGTTCAAATAAATAATAAGAAAAATGACTTTCAAGCACGCAGAAAATTAGCGGACTAAAAGTAGTAACAACCGATCAGAAATGGGCAAAAGTTTTGCAGAAAACTGAATCATGGTCGTGGTTACCCTTGCCAATAAGACTTAAGTATCGTTAAAAAAATTTCTGAAGAGTGATTGTTGCCACATACAAATATAAAATATTACTTCAGAACATGGATCTACGTCAAAACCCAATCTGACGATAGGAGGTGAAGTAGTGGAATGCTCTTATCTTAAAAGTCTCAGTCGTAGGAGCTAATGAAATCACTGAAAAAGTCCCTTTGGCTTCTATCAACTTGGACCCCTTTTAATGCATATGAGATCATCTAATAGTAAATGCTTATACTGTAAATAAGCCTATTCGGTTTTACTTCATACCTTCAAAAAATTAATTTCACTTTTCTTGTTTTTGACCCTTTTCCTCCTCTTTTTCTTCCTCAACTATCTTAGAGCTACAGATCAACTTGTTCGTCTTAGTATGCGTAATCCAATAACTGTGTCAGTCAATAATAATAATATTAACAGTACTAATAATAATGGTACAACTTTATCAAAGGAATTACATACACCATCTGAACTTCTTCAGTATTATGCCATAGTTCCATTAGAACAAAAGTTAGATACATTATGGACATTTCTTCAAAGTCATTGTAAAAAGAAGATCATTGTATTTTTCTCAACACAAAAACAGGTTTGTCAATGTTTGTGTGTGTACTGTTGTTGTCGACTCGTTTTTTTATCGATGTAGTAGTTGTGGCGAGATATTTCTTGTGAGAAGAGTTTACTTAATGTACTGAGTTGTAACTTGCTTATGAACTATTAAAAAACCAAAAGGATTGCATGAGTTTGTTTTCCCAGTTTTGGAATTTTCATCATCAGGAGTCAAGTTTAACAGCTTTTCGAAGTCTCTTGGCATGCGCGTGCCATCCCAGTACCATTAGTTGAGACAGGCATCACTGATGGTATTGAGTGACTGAGTATTTTGCGTGGACAATTGTTTATAAATACTTGTACCTTCCTGATGATGGTCGTAGTAGTTCTCCACGTTTCAGCTCCGTACAGTAGGACTGACTGTCTTGACGTTCGTATTAAAGATTCTGACCTTGAAATTGGTTGAGAGTTGTTTTGAGTTCCATATGTTCTTCAATTGTAGAAATGCTGCCCTTGCTTTGCCAATCCTCGCCTTTACATCTGCATCCGATCCTCCTTGTTTATCAACGATGCTCCCCAGGTACTTGAATGTTTCCACCTCTTCCAGAGTTTCGCCATCAAGTGTGATTGGGTTGGTGTTCTCCGTGTTGCATTTGAGAATCTTGATTTTTCCTTTGTGAATGTGAAGGCCTATCGATGCGGAGGCTGCTGCTACATTTGCTGTCTTCATCTGCATTTGGTCGTGTGTATGAGAGAGGAGGGCTAGGTCATCTGCGAAGTCCAAATCATCTAATTGATTCTGAGAAGTCCATTGTATTCCGTATTTCCCTTCAGATGTCGAATTCTTCATAATCCAGTCAATCACTAGAAGGAAGAGGAATGGGGAGAGTAGACAGCCTTGTCTGACTCCGGTCCTTACTGGAAATGCATCTGTCAGCTGTCCTCCATGCACTACTTTGCACTGTAGTCCATCGTATGAGTTTTGGATAATGTTGACAATCTTTTCAGGAACTCCATAATGTCGAAGAAGTTTCCATAATGTTCTCCTGTCCACGCTGTCAAACGCCTTCTCATAGTCAATGAAGTTGACGTATAGTGATGAGTTCCACTCAACTGATTGTTCAACGATGATCCGTAGTGTCGCAATCTGGTCTGTGCACGACCGATCCTTACGTAATCCAGCCTGATGATCCCTAAGTTCAGCGTCTACTGCGTCTTTCATCCGATTCAGCAGCACTCTGTTGAAAACTTTTCCTGGTACTGATAACAAACTGATACCTCTGTAGTTCTCACATTTGCTCAGATCTCCTTTCTTTGGTATCTTGATGAGATATCCTTCTTTCCAGTCCGTTGGCACTTGTTCCTCTTCCCAAATCTTCTTGAATAGAAGGTGAAGCATGTTTGCAGTTATTTCAATGTCTGACTTCAGTGCTTCTGCTGGTATATTGTCAGGTCCTGCCGCCTTCCCACTTTTGATTTGTCTGATGGCCATCTTGACTTCTTCGATCGTTGGTGGAGTGATATCTATTGGAAGGTCAGTGTGGGCTGCTTCGATGTTCGGTGGATTCAATGGGGCTGGTCTATTCAGCAGTTCCTCAAAGTATTCTGCCCATCTTTTTCTCTGTTCTTGAATCTCAGTGATTGTCTTTCCTTCTTTGTCTTTGACTGGTCTCTCTGGTTTGCTATATCTCCCTGCCAATTTCTTCGTTGTGTCATATACTTGTTTCATATTCCCTTCTCTTGCAGCTTTTTCTGCCGCCGTTTCTAGTTCTCCCATATATTTCTGCTTGTCGGCTTTAATGCTTTTCTTCACTTCTCTGTTTGCTTCTGCGTAGTCTGCTTGTGCTTTGACTTTCTCTGCTCGTGTTCGGCTGTTGTTAATTGCTAGTTTCTTGTTCTTCCTTTCTTGAATTTTGTCCAGGGTTCCCATAGAGATCCATTCCTTGTGATGATGCTTCTTAGGACCAAGAACCTCCTGACACGTTGAAGTTAGTGCTTCTTTTATCCCTTTCCAGTTGTTCTCCAAAGTAGTTTCTTGTTCTTTCAGTAGATCCTGTAGAGCTTGGAACCTGTTGTTGAGAGTTATCTTGAATTCATGGAGTTTGTCAGTATCTCGAAGGAAGGCTGTATTAAACCTTTGTAGTGCTGTTTGTCCAGTTGTCCAGTCTTTCTTTAGCTTCAGTCTCATCTTGGCCACAACCAGGTGGTGATCTGAAGCTATGTCAGCTCCTCTCCGGGCTCTCACATCTTCCATTGATCTTCGGAATTTTTTGTTGATACAGATGTGATCAATCTGGTTCTCTGTGGTGTGGTCCGGTGAGATCCATGTAGCTTTGTGTATACGTTTGTGTGGGAATATTGTGCCGCCTATAACCAATTTGTTGAATGCACATAGGTTTGCAAGTCTCTCCCCATTTTCATTTCTCTCTCCTAATCCATGTCGTCCAATTACATCTTCATATCCTGTGTTGTCCACTCCAACTTCAGCATTTAGATCTCCCATCAGGATTGTGAGGTCCTTTCGTGAGCACTTCTCCATAATTGATTGCAGCCTTTCATAGAACTGATCTTTATCATCGTCGTTGCTATCATTAGTGGGTGCATAACATTGGATAATGTTCATTTTGATCCCTGGCTTCTTTGTTCTGAATGATGCTTTGATTATCCTGGGTCCATGAGATTCCCATCCCACAAGTGCATTTCGTGCTTCTTTGGACAGCATTAGAGCAACTCCCTGAGTGTGTGGCGCATTTTCCCCTTCGTGACCGGAGTACAGCAGCATCTCTCCTGTACCTAGCCTTTGTTGTCCAGTTTGTGTCCAATGGGTTTCGCTGATTCCGAGTACTGCCAAGTTGTATCTCCTCATTTCCATTGCTATTTGGTTGGTTTTTCCTGTCTCCCACATCGTCCGGACGTTTCATGTACCTATAAAGAGTGTTGCTCTGGTTGTTAGAAGGTGCATCGGTCTCGTGACTTCCGAAGAATTTCGGCTTTCATCATGAGACGTCATAATTATTCCTTCAACTCCCAGGGCAGAGTTTAAATGGTTTGAATTATTTTTTCTGGTTAGCGTTTTTTTAGCGAGTTAGCTTTTCTACGGGGTGGGGTCGCTAACCCCATGCCCAACCCTCCTCCTTTACCCGGGCTTGGGACCGGCAGTAACTCTAGAAGAGCTACAGGCGGAGTTAATGGTGAATGTGCTTGTTAGTATATATTTCCAGTGGTTAACACTGACGATATCTTGATTTTCTGTATAAAAGAGTGTCTAGCAGACCTATGCAATTATTATACACTTTGAAAATGTTGAACTATTTATGTAAAAAAATGATATGCATCGTTACAAACTCGTTATGGGCAATTGAACTGAATATTACTTTTCAGTTCATTATAGAGGGTGTTAATAAATTTATCTACAATTATATAGAGTTAAGATCATGAGTCAATTGAAGCTAGACCACCATGGAAAACCTGGAAGCACTGGACGACCGTTTCGTCCTATTATGGGACTCCTTAGCTGTGCACACCCACGATCCCGCACTCGTGAGATTCTGGCCCAGGACGTACCAGTATTGCGCCTGAGCACTTAACCGATAGACCACTGAGCCGGCCGGCATCCAACGATGTTGATTTCTAACTTCAACCAATCCACGAAGTTGAGCAACCATTCACTAATGTCTTCAGTGAGTTGATATCTCCCAACAGACCTGGTTGAACTCCACTGGTTACTGCTTCTCACTAGAACTCCAGGAAATACCTCATGGAGCCAGTCACTAGTGAACACATGATCTCAACTCTATAAAACTACTAAAATCTCCACAAAACCCCTTCTGATTATCAACAATTAGCTATTTTCAAGGATAATGTAGACCTTGTCTGACACTAAACAATCTTGTAATTTTTTAAAATGATGAAGAGGATTCATAGTTCAAGTTGATATCTTGAGTGGTGTTGCGCTCTCTAAGCTTGATAGTCGAATTACAAAGCTTTAATTGTCGTTTTGAAATAAAATCAATAGCGTCTACTATAAGTCGGAATGAGATTTTTAATTATTCTCTAAATTTTAACGTCCAGAGGCGAAATCTTGTTGCTTACTGTACTAGGGTTTGACAGAAGTCAGATATTCAACACGGACAAACAGCATCTTCAAAGTTGTTCGTTTTCTACAAAAGGAAAGATAGATTAGAAAATCTCATTGAAATCATGAACTGGTCAAGTCAGATCACTATTAAGAACCTGAGAGCACTGAATGACCATTTCGTCTCCGTACACGGGAATTGAAATCAGGACCTTCGGTCTCGTTCACGAACCCCTAACCTCTAGGAAATGTCAGCTGCCAAAATAGCACGCACCTCTCCATCACTTCCCCACGAATTTGAGGTTCCCGCAGCAAGTTTGGGAAAGTATAGATCTAATACTGCGAAAATAACCATTTACCCAAAAATTATGCATAACATACCTCAAGACGTTGCCTCTTAGGATTTTTAGTCACTTTTAAGTCGAAAAGACCTTTAATACTAATCCAGTTCCTTTTTTCTTGTTTCACAAAACGATATTTGCTTTTACTAAATGGGTAGCTGGAAAGTCTCAGTAACCTTTTCAACTTTAAATATAATTCAAATTGATCATTATAAACAATCTTCAAAATATAATGTACCTATATAACTCAATTTCTTTTTAAATTCACACTGAAACGTTTCAATGAATACAGTGGTCTTGAGTGCTGTTAGAAGTATTAGGGCAGTTATCACTTCCCGGTTGCCCACACCGTGGAAGGGTTCTTCTAGAGGTACCTGAAAACGAAATTGGGTTAGGAGTGGTCTTAATGACCTGAGAGCGTGACCGCAGTGCCCAAGGGACAACTGCTTGAGGTCGGTCACACACGACCTTTTCGTGGGTAGGTTTTGTGTTAGCTCCGTACTTGTTGAGGCCTTACCGCCGGAGACGGATATCCGTGGGATAAGGCGAGGTGTGCGTTTTCGGGGCGGACCTTTTCTAACCCCACCCTTCCTTTTGGGAAGGCAGCATCGCTGTTATGCTGGTTGTCTGAAGGAAACACCTTACTGCTGTCACACCTCTGTACAGCCAGCAGTACGACTTCGCCTTTGGACCTTGGGTTTGCTGCTTTTAGTTATACCGACCTGCCTGGCATGGTAGGAAATTGAGGAACGATTGTTCCAGCCAGTATAGCTCTATTGGTTCATCATGATAGGCAAGCCCGACCACCATGTCAACGGTCGGGAATCGATCACAATGGCGTAGGTGTATACACTCCTTATCTTCCCTTAAACCTTAAGATTAAAATTGCTTCATAACTTTCTTCCTTCCTATACTATATCCTTATATACAACCTTTCTTTTATATACAACCACCACTAAATTAACTACTTCTATGAATCCGGTGTTCATCTTGTTGTGCTAACGAGGTATGGCAACTTGGACCGATGCATATATGTGCCTGATCCTACGTTGTAGCTGACTGACTGGAACGTTTCAATTGAATATTTATACATTAAAAGATATTCGAACATTGAATACACCAATTTATCATTCATTGTTTGTTTCTTTGTTTGTTTTTGATATTTCTATATATATTAAGGTTCGATATGCATATGAATTATTTCAATTACTTAGACCATATTTTAAAATTCTACAACTTCGTGGTAATATGAATCAACAAAAACGTTTTCAAGTTTATGATCGTTTTGCTAATTCTCCACATGGTTCCGTTCTGTTAGCTACTAATTTAGCTGAACGAGGTTTAGGTAAGTACAGTATGCTTTACGATATTAATGACATATATATATATATATATATATATATATATATATATACGTGTATGTTTATCAAGTTATGTTCTTCAAACATTGGCCCCCAAATGCCCTGGTACGGCCGAGAGTGGGGAGAGTCCACTCTCCCTCTTGAAATGCTCTCACATGGCCATGCGTATATAGAGTCTGCCAGGGAAGTCCTACTCACTGCCTTCTCGTGGCAGGGGTGTTATTTACGAAATTGAGAGGACAAGAACCGAATGTCAGGTGCTTTAACCGGGCCGGTGGATGTGGAGGATCCACCTAAGGGAGTTGGAAAACCCTGATCCCAAAGCAATGGTGAACATAGGCTCTAGGATCCTGAGTGAATAAATGGCGTATGAATCAATCGTTGGTCACTGGCTACCATGGGAAAGTATCTTCTGACGTTGCTCCACTGCTTTGTGGACCAGACCTTTAGGTCGAAGACTGCGTGTATGGCCCTCTAAGTAAACCATCAGCTTTGATATGGGTACCCGGACAGTATCGCAACTCACACACAAATCAAGTGATCTATGTGGCGCATATGTATTCGGTCCCCCTTTGTACCAATATTTATGTGTTTAAATAAAATAAAATCACTTCAAACATTAACTAACATTTCAGTATAGATACGTTTGAACATTTCACTTAATTTATTTGACCAAAATTTCATTTTCCCTATATGTCTTCTAAGTATTAACATTTACATGTCAGTCACAATTTCATAAATCCTACTCAACTATGAAGTAAGCGGTGCTGTATCACACTCCTTGCCTTCAGATTCAATGAGAATATGAAATGGTATTAGATAGATTGGTTTTAAAACCTGGAATATTAATTCATGTATATTAAAAAATCATACAAAACCAAAAGGTACTTAATAGTTCTTTTATCCTGGTATGGAACTGCTCATTATTAGGAAGCATCTATAATCATCCTCTCTGACATTGAATTCATGACTTACAGACTTCGCAGCAAGAAAGAATTTATAAATTTTAAATTACTAAATTAATGCTTAGTTATTTTTGATAGTTGAGATCATGAATCAATTGGAGCTAGACCACCATGAAAATCCTGGAAGCACTGGACGGCCGTTTCGTCTTATTATGGGACACCTCAGCAGTGTTCATGCATGATCCCGCCTCGCGAAATTCGAGCCCAGGATCTATCAGTTTTGCGCGCGAGCGCTTAACCACTAGACCAATGACCCAACATTCAACGATTTTAATGTCTAACTTCAACCTATCCACGAAATTGAGCGACACATCCTCCAATGTCTTCAGTGAGTTACTATCTCATAACAGACCTGGTTGTACTCCACTGGTCATTACTTCTCGCCACAACTCCAGGAAATACCTCATGGAGCCGTCCGGTGCTTCCAGGTTCTCCATGGTGGTGTAGCTTCAATTGATTCATGATCTCAACTGTCAAAATTACTATAATATCCACAAAACCCCTACTGATAATACTTAGTTGTTTACATTTCTAACTTAAATTCATTCATAAGATCGCACAACCATCTTTCCTCCCTACTGAGAAATATTTATCTAGTCCTGGATATGACTGAGTCCTAATGATCATGGCTTCTTACTGTATTTCCGATAATAATGATTTTTAGTGCGGCGGAGGGAGACGATTGTAAAAATTGTTGAATATTTAGTTTTAGTCTCGTACTAGGATGAAACAGTTGTCCAATTTCTCTTGAGTTTTTAATGGTTTTTTAAGTAAAATTCTAAGATAACATGAATCATCAGTTAATCGGGAAATCCATTGGACATATTCATGTATGTTCAGTCAGTCAGTAGTTGATATGGCGGAATACAAAATTGATAATATTTCGGTTAATATTTTTTTTATGAAATAGTGAATTTCGGCCAGAGTAATAGGTGCGAACTTCTTCCTTTGTGACATTTTGGAGTCAATTCATTGTAAACTTTGTTCTATATGACTAGTGTGATATGTCGTTCAATGCGACATTTTTATTCCCTATATTAAGTCAGATGAACTACATTTATAGTGTTTATTTTTACAGTAACTGTATGTATTCCCCCCTTCTACGTGATACCACTAATTATGTAAAAGTTAGAGTATAAGTGATTGTATTGTGTCTTAAGAATGATGTGACTTTGGGACCTTGTTTAGAGTTATGTTTTGGGGACGTCAATACATCTTCATTACACCAATCTTTTATGTCCTCGCGTTGCGTCGTGGAAATTGTAGTGGTTATGGATTGTCAAGTAAAATCAATAAGACTACAAACTCAACCGAGTCGACACATACATAACAGCGACGACTCCCCAGACATAATATTTGGTTACCCAATTACAACAGTGATCTACTTGCAAATTGCCTTGGTAATACAAAAACAAGCATGATTAACCTTCCTTTAATTTTTCACATACCTCATTTAATTAGTAATTACAATTTAATGAATTCAATATAAACTGATTTTCTTTGTTTATTACATTCCAACTAAATTTTCGATATGTCTTGCTGATTGAACGCTATACTGGGATCCTAAACTATTGTCGTAACCTTCAAGCTAGAACTACACAGCGACTTGAACACGAGAGAAAAGGCACAAATATGCGATAAGCTTTTTACTCCAAAGGTCCATTTATGTACAGAAAATATAGGGTTTTAATAGTATTTTAGAAATCCTTGGATTTATCTGAAAATTCTAGAATACTACTAAACATAGCGGCAGTGTAATAATCAGCCAATCAGAACCTCTACATGTGACTTTTCATTTTCATGATATTTCTAGCAAAACTTCTAATCAAATGCTGATTGGATATAATGCTTCCTAATTTTACCTGAGCTTGCCATGTCTGTTGCGAGTAATTTTCAGGATCACCGCCAACAATTTTCGTTACACATTAGGTCATCCAGTTCATCTTCAAATACGTAAATTTATTCTTTTCATAAAATTCTTACTCTGAAATTTATTCTCATTTTACCATTCAAATGAACAATTCACTTCTTATATAGTTGAGATCATGAGGCCATTAAAGCTAGACAACCATGGAAAACCTGGAAGCACTGGATAGCTGTTTTGTCCTATTATGGAACTCCTCAGTGGCAGTGCGCATCCACTATCTCTCACTCGCGAGATTCGAACCCAGGACCTACCAGTCTCGCGCCAGAGCACTTATAACCGATAGACCACTGAGCCGACATCCAACTATGTTCATGTCTAACCTCAGCCAATCCATGAAATTGCGCAACCATCTTCCAATGTACAAATATGTTAGTATTTCTAATATGATAACTATACCATGAAAAATATCTCATAACATTCAATGTTAATTTGGTGAGACCTACGATTTATGGACGTCCTTTGAGAAACAATAAAATGACCCTGGAATATCCACCCTACTTACTAGAGTTAAATGAGGATTATAAATTAGTGTTAGGAATTATAATTTAAAGATGGACGTTAGGTCTAAGGATTAGATTTAATGTTTTCATCATGAACTGAAATCAGTTATAATGCCAAAATGCTATTTGGCCAAATGGATGTTAATGAATTTTGCTCCAAAATTCAAGACCTGTTAACTTAAATCTCACTGGTTTGTCTATAAATTCAAAATTCACCTTATTCTGTTCAACTTTATCGTTTTCGTTGTTGTTATATTTTCATAGATTTTCCAAATGTTCATTGGGTTGTACAATTTGATTGTCCACATTTTACTGAAGATTATATACATCGTATTGGTCGAACTGGACGAAATGGACATATAGGTCGATCAATTTTATTTTTATTACCATCTGAACAAAATTTAATTAATATACTTGCTAAACATTCTGTTGTATTAAAACCAGTAAAGTAAGCTATATGTTATAGTATAAATCTTTTTTCTGGTTAGCTTTTTTTTTAGCGAGTTAGTTTTTCTACGGGATGGAGTCGCTAACCCCATACCCAACCCTCCTCCTTTACCCGGGCTTGGGACCGGCAGTAACTCTAGAAGAGCTACAGGCGGAGTTGTATAAATGTATACTTATCTCAAATTGCTCAATCTTATTCATGAAGTGTATTGAATTCGATGAGGATTCCCTCCCACACTTTTTTTACCGAAAATTAATATCAACTAGAGAGCTATTGCAATCTTTAAGTGGCAGTAGACAAATGTTGTATTATCTTTTATTTTAAGCGTCTTCAACAGGACTCATCTATAAACGACTCTTACTCTTACAAGACTGGCAGAATTCTATTCCTGTACTCACCTTGGGTGGCGAGCAGATTGAAGTAGTTGAGAAGTTCGTGTATCTAGGTAGCTGCATAAGTGCTGGTGGTGGCGTGAGTGATGAGATTGATGCACGTATAATGAAAGCCAGAGCGGCTTATGCCAATCTGGGCCATCTTTGGCGCCTTCGTGATGTTAGTCTGGCTGTAAAAGGTCGGATCTACAACGCGTCGGTGAGAGCAGTTTTGCTCTCTATGCTTGTGAAACCTGGCCTCTCCGAGTTGAGGATGTTAGACGACTCTCTGTGTCCGATCATCGTTGTCTCCGAAGGATTGCTGACATACAGTGGCAACACCTTGTTAGTAATGCAGAGGTTCGGCATCGTGTGTTCGGGCGCAGAGACGATAATTCAATTAGTGTCACCATCTTGAAACACCGACTTCGGTGGCTTGGACATGTTTTACGAATGTCGTCCCAGAGACTTCCACGTCGTGCATTATTTGCCGACGTTGGGGCTGGTTAAAAAAAGCGGAGAGGTGGTCAGTGTATGACATAGTGTCGTGGTATGAAAGAAAACTGCAACGGACTGGCTTTCGTTGGTCCTTCACGACTCCCTGGTTGGGGTCCGAGAGATGGTGCAACACAGTGGCTAGAGACGTTATCAGATATGGATCAAAATAGAAGCCAGTGGCGATCGTGCAGTAACCTTCTGTTACTTTGTTCATAAAGAGTGGTTATAACCTCCTTAATTGGGAGAGTTCTTCTGGTTTTAAATTTCAGTCTCCTTCATCTTACCCCTTTTCTCTTCCCATTCTCATTGTTTTATGTGGCGCATATATATCTGGTGCCCCCTTGCACCAATATTTATGTGTTTAAATAAATAAACTGTAGGGCTTTTCATTCGTTCACCTATTGAGTCAATACCTTAATAACTTACGTTTACAACGTCATTCTTGTATTTAGTATTGGCCCGTTCTCTACCGACTACCTCTGAGAATTATGACTTCTCAATAAAATTTAACCGACTAGAGGAATTAAAGGTCATGAACCCCATTGCAAGTGGAATAAGTAAGCTTGCATTATTAATGGAGTCAATTTATTATGAAAATGGCAATATAGAGTTTAGTACCATGTAAAGCCGACATGAGTTATTTTAGCTTGGTGACAGACCAATTTATCCATTCTTCTTGAGTCACATTCTGACTTCGGAAATGATTTGCTTATTAACCTTGACTGTTTTTATATGAGTGTTTATGTGTACATTTGTTATCCTACCCATCACATATCTGTAGCCTATTTTTAACTGACTATAAATATTGAGTTACGCTTGGTCAAATCGAGTTGGCTCACCCGCTTTCTCCACTTCGTTTCTTTGAATGTCGGTTCGGTTCAACAAGTATACGAAATATAAGTGTTTGAAATTCATTCCCATATTTGACCTATTTTATCCCGTTATTCATTAACGCGATTTAGTCAGTCAGTCAGCTACAACATAGGACCACGCACATTTATGCATCGGTTCAAGTTTCCATACCTCGTTAGCACAACAAGATGAACACCGGATTCATAGAAATAGTTAATAGTGGTGGTAGTATATAAAAAGTAGGTTGTACATAAGGATATAGTATAGAAAGGAAGAAAGTTATAAAGCAATTTTAATCTTAAGGTTCAAGGGAAGATAAAGGGTGTATACACCTACGCCATAGTGATCGATTCTGATCCATGTCACCTAGAGTCTCCAATCATTGGTTACGATAGTCGCGCGGATCCCAACCAGTTAGTCTGCATCTGCCAACATGGCTCAGACTAGAAGTTAGTGACTTCATCCTCTGATGCCACGTTTTGGTTTGGCCGCCCCTAACTCTCTTCCAACCATCGCCAATACTAGTCAGCATAGCGCGTCTTGGTAATCGGTGTTCAGACATAAGTAACACGTGGTCCAACCATCTCAGTCGATGAAGATTCATCACCTCACCAACTGATTTACGATCATTCCTTAATACCTTGTGTCTAACCTCACTATTACTTACCCGGTAATCCCAGCAGATGTCAATATTTCTAAGGCATCTATGGTCAAGTACTAATGCGATTTCAGTCGACAATTATATGCGAAAGTAGATAGAATATATACAACGATAAAATCATCATACAACGTTATTTCAGTCAGATCAGGTCACTATGACTTACAAAATGTGCTCCAAAAATACTCTTGGTAGTTTAAAGTGTTAAACTGATTAAGAACGAATGATTTGTATACTAGATAGATCGGATGAATAACACTCTATACTCCTTCAGCGTTAATAATCTATATACAAATAAAAGTGAGAGAAGACCATTTTTGTTTAGATTTATTACCAGTGAGTGAAAAATCTATTCACATTTAATTTTAATTCATATGTATTGGTTGTTTAGGACTTTCCGTCGATGTGTTTAGGACTTCAACTGATCATTCTCTTTTTGAGTTATGTACATCCTGTGCGGATTGCCTCAATATTTACAGTAGGTCACAAGCATTTTAAGTAGAGGTGAATAGTGACTAGCATTGAAGTCCAGGTCTCGCATTTCGTCATAATTGGAAGGCACCTGCATCTCGGAGTCGATGCTCAACTCGGGGTTCGAACCAATTATCTTTCGCTTAGAACGTCATTGTTTTGTCCATCGGGATGCAGGTACACCCAGCTGATGAGTCCAGAACTGGACGAAATATGCATCCTGGATTCCAACTGCTATCTCCCACCTATTTCTATTTACATTTAAGTCAATTCACGTACACGCCGATTAAATTGAGGCTAAACCAACACATGGCATCAGTCAAAAACGTCATTAACTGTTAGTCTAAGTCATATTGGGATATTCTGACTACTTAGTTGGGATCTGTACCATAATTATTATCGGCGGTTAGGAATTTTAGTTGACGCTGGCTAAGAATAGTCCATAATGAAATAGATGCATTCACACTTTATCTTTCCTTCGATCTTTGCTTTCAGTACACTTTCATGCATATCTTTCCCACTGTCTTTTTAAATTATATTTTATTCATTTAGTCATTCACTTTATTATTATTACTACACTTTTTGCAATTCATCTCATTTTGCTATTTTGGGATGGATACTGGGGCCAACACACTAATATGGTATGGGTTCTACGTTGACCTCAGGTGGAAAAATTAAAATTCACAAAAGAAAATCTTTCTTGTCCATTCTTCATTGTCTGCTATTCATGTTTCAGAAATACTCATTAATTAATCGAGTATTATTATTATTATCAGAAGTGGTTTTTGTGGAGATTTAGTATTTTTATAGTGGAAAGCGTAAGTCAATTGAATCTAGACCACCATGGAAAACCTGGAAGTACTGGAAGGCCTTTTCGTCTTATTGTAGGTCATAGATGCGCACTGCTGAGGAGCCCCACAAAAGAATGAAACGGCCGTCCAGTGCTTCCAGGTTTTCCCTGGTGGTCTATTATTATTATTATCACTATGATTATTATTATTATTATCTATTACTATTTATAATAAATTAAAAACGAATGTATAGATTTCCTGAATCCAAATTACAACGAAGAGTTTCTAAAGAATCGTCAAGTTTATTAGCACGTAAATTGGAATTAACTCAATCAGCACGATTAGCATTCACTGCTTATCTACGTGATTATTGTTTAATGGCTAGACGAAATCCAACTAAACAACAAAAACAACAACAATCTAATGAGCTATTGAATGTGTTCAATGCAAAAGATCTACCTGTAGAAAAATTTGCTAATTCACTTGGTAAGTAATCTGCTACTAACTTTATGTAATCATTCATTTCGTATTGTTGTAAAGAGTAATGATAACCTAATGACTAAAGTATTCAACTCTTACCCATTAATAGGTTACAGGTTCGAACTGTGCACTATCTACTTGGGTTTTAGGCATCGACTTAGTATGATTAGTTCTCACACATAGTATTACTCGTAGTCAAGTAAATGAGTTTTAAAAAAACAACTGAAACTAGTAACTAGTTTCGAATTGTAGAGAGGTAACCAGTCAATCACGTTAAAGACAACCTACGAACTGGTATGTATGTATGTACATCAGTTTACTTTGCCATACCCCATTTTCACAGAGAAATGCAATTGTCAGAGCAAATCAGAAAGTAGAGGTAAAAACAGTATGAGTTATAACTGGAAAGATTAGTCATCGAATATATATGATTCGAGAAAACATAAATTCATGAGATGAGAAATACTTCGGAAGCTTAGAATCTGAGGCAAACAGTCAATTCACCTGCTTCATTGAGAATGATTTTCAGCCGTGTCATTGAAAGTCTCTAACCGCTGGTTACGATAATTATGCGAACCTCAACCAAGTTGTTTACACCTATTAGCGTGGCTCCGTCCAATTTTCAATTGAAAGAGGGGGAGGTCAGGGTTGTAATCAGTTCCTGGATAAATAACTTAGTTTGAGCGTAACAAAGTTTCCTGAGTATTTTTCGAGTATAGAGTTGAATGTTGTGGATTTGGATGGAATCTATGTGGAAAGAATGTCAAATAATTTTTATATTCGTTTGTATCCACCAGTGTAACAATTTATTTATTTAAACACATAAATATTGATACAAGAAAGCACTATATATATATATATATATATATATATATGCGACGCACAAATCTCATTTGATTTGTGTGAGGACTGGGATACTGCCCACGTGCCCAAACTGAAGCAGGTGGTTTTCTTAGGCGGCCACACCCGGAGCTTCTGACCTGAAGGTCGAACCCACAAGGCAGTGGAGCTTCATGAGGAGATGCAGTCCCACGGTAGCCGGTGACCAACGATTGGTCCATACGCCATTTGTTCCCTAAGGATACTGGAGTCCATGTGCATCATTGGTTTGGAATCAAAACGTTTTGCGATTTGTTCATTGTCACAAGGTTTGAACTGTAACAGTGATAATCTAAATAAACACTTTAAGCCCCCAAATGCCCTGGTACGGTCGAGAGTGGGGAGAGTCCGCTCTCTCTCTCCAAATGCTCTCACATTGCCACGCGTATATAGCCCCTGCCAGGGAACACCTACTCACTGCCTTCTCGCACCACGGGTGTTGTTTGCGAAATTGAGAGGACGGAAAGAGAATGTCCGGCACTTTAACCGGGTTGATGGACACGGAAATTTCACCTAGGGGGGTTGGAAAACCCTGATTCTAAACCAATGGTGCACATGGGCTCCAGTATCCTGAGGGAACAAATGGCGTATGAACCAATTATTGGCCATCGGCTACCATGGGACTGCATCTCCTCACGATGCTCCATTGCCTTGTGGATTAGACCTTCAGGTCAGAAGCTCCGGGTGTGGCCGCCTAAGAAAACCACCTGCTTCAGTTTGGGCACGTGGGCAGTATCCCAGCCCTCACACAAATCAAATGAGATTTGTGTGGCGCATATGTATCTGGTGCTTCCTTGTACCAATATTTATGTGTTGAAATAAAATAAAATAATAATTAATTGCTTATCTCGTCTACCGATAATATATAAAATATATATATATATATATATATATATATATATATATATATATGCACCAGGAAGTTCTGTGTGTGTTAACTAAAGTGAACAAAAGTCCATCAAAAGGCATAAACGTATGACGATATATCACAAGTAATTGTTTCTTAATTTTCGTTGGTACCCCTCGTTATTTGTTTAAGGAGTAGTATTTTTCCCGGGAATTTTAACCTCAAGCGGGTGGCTCTCTTAGGTACCAACGCTCTAAGCATTTAATGTAAAGGTCTAAACCAAGAGACATTAGAGCAACGTCAAATGATACAATCCTATGCTGTCCGGTGACCATTATAGGTTCTTGCCCTTTTACTTCCATCACACCCACTGTTATTTGGAATCAGTGTTCACCAACCTAGTTTATAAGTCCGAAGTTCAATTTGCTGTCTCACTCTTATAGAAACACCCTGCCACGTGAATGTAGTGAGTAGGACTTCTGTAGAGTAGACAATGAACACGTGAAGGTATAATTGCATTTAGAAAGGTATAAGAGACTCTTTTCATCCCCAATTGTCCCAGTTCATCCTTCCACTATCCTACTACTGTACCAAACTATTCATTTCATAAACAATGATTAACGCCAAAATACCAATAACTGTACTTTAAAAAGTTCAACAGCTCTAATCCTCATTAAAACTACTTATAATAATGAGTCCACATGTAATATCTTAATAAATTAATTCATTTCTCCTATACCTATATACAGGTTTACCATTCATATCATCACTTCCAAAAGAATTCATTCAACTTGTTCCAGATTCAGTTAAATTGATTAAATCTTTCCCATCAGTTGTATCAAATCTATCTGATAATAATGACAATCAATTATCGACTACTACTTCTACTACTACTACTGATAACGTCCTCAGTCCAATGAAGATGAAGTTGCCTCATTCAACAAAATTAATCTCATTAAACACTAATAATAATATTGATGAAGATGATGATCATAATATGGATAGTGATGATAATTTATTAATTAAAAAATCTTCAATCAATGTGATACCGAATGAAACTCAATTAAAACCTTTAGATCTTGTTCAAGATACAAGTTCAGATGATAATGATAATGATATAGGGGAAAATGATCAGCAAAAGACTAACCAACCTGAAAAGAGTAGAAAATCTGTAAATAAATTGGTATGTAGTTCTACCTTCTGGTTTGTTTGTTTGCTTTTGTATTAATCTTAACTTAATCGAAGTATGACTACTTGTATAATGAATCCTTCAAATGTTGATTACAAATGGTAATCTTTTGCCTTTGTTATTTTTCTGTTGGTTAATGTTTTCTCCATCCTGCCTTCCATTACTAATGTATATATCTGTAACCTATTTACTTATTTACACCTGTTACCCCTCGTGGAGGAGCATAGGCCGCCCATCAACATTCTCCATACAACTCTGTCCTGGGCAATCCGTTCCAGTTCTTTCCAGTTAACATTCATCCTTTTTATATCTGCTTCTATTTCCCGACATAATGTGTTCTTTGGCCTTCCTCTTTTCCGCTTCCCTTCCGGATTCTAAGTCAGCGCTTGCCTCGTGATGCAGTTTTGTGATTTCCTTAATGTATGTCCGATCCACTTCCAACGTCTTTTCTTAATTTCCTCTTCAGCTGGAAGTTCATTTGTCCTCTTCCATAAAACGCTGTTGCTGATAGTATCCGGCCAGTGAATGTTGAGTATTTAGCGAAGACAACTGTTTATAAATACTTGTACCTTATTGACGATGGATGTAGTAGTTCTCCACGTTTCAGCTCCGTACAGTAGGACTGACTGTCTTGATGTTTATATTAAAGATTCTCAATTTGAAGTTAGTTGACAGTTGTTTGGAGTTCCATATGTTCTTCAATTGTAGAAATGCTGCCCTTGTTACTTTTTTGTAACCTATTTAGAAGGCTGAAAACTACTGTCATTCAGTCATTACTATTATAAATCGTCTTGTTACCACTGAGTGTGTATATTGGATTGTTGATTAGTTGCATTCATTAGTGGCCAATGTCTATGTTGGTTATATCTCGGTGATCGTGTAATATTTAGAGTTCAGATGTAAAATGAATGTACAGTAATAAATAAATGATGTAGAACTGATTTTTTTTAGTAACCTTTTGTTCAAATAATCAACCACCGACTGCCCCAACGTGCAATGTTTTATGGTGTAGGAGTAGGTTGGAAGAAAGCTAGGGGTGGCCAGACCAAAACGCAGCACAAAACCATGAAGTCACTGACAAGTGGACTGAGCCATGTTGGTAGGTGTAGACTATCTGGTTGTGATTCGTAAGATGATAGCAATCGATGCTCAGAGACCTTGAATGACATGGTTCAAAATCGTTTGCAATGGCGAAGGTGCATCCACTCTTTGTGTTCTACCAAACTGTAATCTGAATTCTTCATGTTACTATCCTTTTTCTCTTTCCTAATTTATTTTACTGGATTATACTCGTTCAATAACATCTTCAAACCCTAATCATTCACATAATGCTTATACTCTTACTACTTCTACTACTATGGGATTTGAATCGACAACTGCATTTCTGTGTTAATATGGTATGGCAACTGGAACTGATGTACGTACGTACGAAGTTCTATGTTGTGACTGACTGACTTATGTATTGTACTTAAGTAATTTCTAATGTAGCCCATGGAAGCTAGTTAACTGGTTGAACATTGACTTTGTGTTATAGTCCAGATCAATGACTATCTGCGAAAATAGTCCGAACCCATGTATAAAGCACTTATAATTCTCATATGTATGCAGATAAAGAGACTTACAGATAAATTCAGTAAAGATCACTTGGTAAGATATAATAGTATATTTCAGTCAGTCAGTCAGCTACAACGTAGGACCAGGCACATATATGCATCGGTCCAAGTTGCCATACATCGTTAGCACAACAAGATGAACACTGGATTCATAGAAGTAATTAATTTAGTGGTGGTAATAGTATATAAATTATAGGTTGTATATAAGGATAGTATAGTATATTTATTAAAGCTCACCAATAATAATATTTAAATTTTCATACAACTTTGAAATATTGTTGATCTCTGTCTGATATTAGCCCCTAAATGGCCTAATACGGCCTAGGGTGTTGAGAGTCCTCTCAAAATGCCCTCATATAGCTATGAGTATACAGCAACTTTCAGGTAAGTCCTACTCATTACTTTCTCATGACAGTGGTATTGTTTACGAAATTGAAAACACGAACAGCGAATGTCCAGCGCATAAACTGGGTTAGTGGGCATGGAGAGAAGTTAAAAAAACCTGATTTCAAACCAGTTGTGCATATAGGCTCCAGGATCGTGAAGAACTTAAAGGCTGATGAACTTATTGTTAGTCACCAGCTTTCATGAGACCTTACTTCCTAACGTTTCCAACCCATCAGTTTTTAAGAGTTGTATAGCATGTGGAGTTTTAACAGATGAAATGCTAATTTAATGTTGTGTAAGAGCTGGATAATAAAACGATGTGCTATAATCCCTTTTTGTAGATAGATCTACCCATCCATAACATGATATCTTTATAGATCTCATTTGGACATTTTGATACATTACTCAAAAGTGAGATAATTATTATCAGAAAGGGTTTTGTGGAGATTGCAGTATTTTCATAGTTGAAAGCGTGATTCAATTGAAGTTAGACCACCGTGGATGCGCACTGCTGAGGAGTCTCATAATAGGACAAAACGGCCGTCTAGTGCTTCCAGGTTTTCCATGGTGGTCTAGCTTCAATTGACTCACGCTTTCAACTATGAAGATAATTATGAACCATTTTTTTACACAATCTGTTTCTTTTTTGGTCTTTTTTTCTAGAAAAAATTAAGTCGTATTCAATTAGCAAAAAAAGAATTAAAACAAAAGATTCGATCTCATCGAAAACTAGAATTTGACGATGAAGGTCATGTAAGTATCTGTGGGTGTATGTGTGTGTGTGTCTATTTATGTTGATTATTAAAAGTGTACTTTTATGTAGATATATTTGTTTATTCTACAATTTTTCCATTTTATGATAGTACGTTCTATGGGCTATATGGATTCAACCACTTCTTTAATTAATAAATGAAGACATTATGTGAAGGGTTTTGTGGAGATTTCAGTAATTTTATAGAGTCGAGATCATAAGTCAATTGAAGCTAGACAACCATGAAAAACCTGGAAGTACTGGACAGCCGTTTTGTTCTATTGTGAGATTCCTCAACGCGCGAAACTGATAGCTCCTACGTTCGTATCTCGTAAGGCGGGATCGTGGATGCGCACTTCTGAGAAGTCCCACAATAGGACGAAACGGCCGTCCAGTGTTTCCAGGTTTTCCATGGTTGTCTAGCTTCAATTAACTCATGATCTTAACTCTATAGAAGACATTATAGTTAATATGAAATAAATGAAATCAACATTTGAAGTAATAAGCTACTATATGGTTTGGCTTATCTTCTTATTGGTCAATTTTTATTGTTGTAATGAATTGACCAATCATTATTCTTTTAATTTATTTTAAAACTGTATATAAGGAATGTTGTTTCTTCATTACAGATCAAGTGTAGTTTATAACTATCTATATGGCTTAGTAGATCAGCAATCTTATATCATTTTTATCATTTTATTTGTATATTATTGATAAAAATCTATTTATAAAAGTACATTTGATCATCTCAATAAACCGAGAGAGTGGGGAGAGTCTGCTCTCCCTCTCGAAATGCTCTCACATGGCCACGCGTATATAGCCTCTGCCAGGGAACACCTACTCACTGCCTTCTCGTGGCGGGCGTATTGTTCACCATATCGAGATGATAAAAAGCGAATGTCCGGCGATTTAACCGAGTTGGTGAACACAGAGATTCCACCTAGGGGAGTCGGAAAACCCTGATTCCAAACCAATAGTGCACATAGGCTCCAATATCCTGAGTGAACAAATGGTGTATGAATCAATCGTCGGTTACCGGCTACCATAAGACTGCACCTCCTCACGGTGCTCCACTGCCTTGTAGATCAGATCTGTAAGTCAAAGGCCCTAAGTAAACCACCTGTTTCGGATTGGGCACTTTGGCTGTATCGCAGCCCTCATGCAAGTCAAATGAGAGTTGTGCGGCGCATATATATCTGGTTCCCCCTTGTACCAATGTTCATGTGTTTAAATAAATAAATAAATCTCAATAAACCATTTCTTAATTAGTCATAACTATTCTTGTAAATAATTCTGTTATTTGTAATACGTGATATGCTTGAGCTAATTCGATTTTCTCGGTAAATGAACGAAGGAAAAATGACAGTGACACGATAAGCTAATCTAATCCGTCTTCTTGGGCCCCGCTAACTAGAGGAAGAAGTCCAAGGCGAAGTAGGGGAATATATATTCCGTAATCAGCCGAGTACAAGCAAATCATAAGGGGAAAAACTCAAAGGTATATATACAGCTATAAATAGTCCTTGGGCAACATTATAAAATAGCACACTCAATGATACAACGGACCAATAGGATTTAAGATATTTTACAAGTGGGAAATACGACTTAAAGGTGAAAAAAGCGCCTTTGTCGCGAAAACGGTTAAATTCAAATTTTCAAAATAAAATTACAAAATTAAGTCATTTACCAAATAAGTTCTGGGGATGTCAAATCCCCAACAATACTGTTGATTAACACACTGTATAAATTTGATTACTATCAGTTATAAATGTAATATCATGTTTACTTAGAGCCATAGTGATAAATGAATTGAAAAACAATGTTTTTTTTCTTTCATCTTATGTTTTTCTACTCGAAAAACTTGTGTTAGTGATGAATTAGAATTATCCGTCAAAAAGTCAGCCGCAGTCTAAATAGTTGAGGCGGTAATATCTCAGAAAGTAAAACTGAGCAACGTCTATTCGAATATCATAGGAAATACCTGTTCCTCTTTAACTCTGCAGATATCATTTACTGATAAATGCTTACTAAAACGAAACATAGATCAAAAATTTTCTGTTAAATGACCTAAACTCTTAACATTCTTACAATGAATCAATCAGTTAATGAATTTTACTTCTTTCTTTTAGGTAATATGCGAGAAAATTGGTGATATCCCTATTGCTAAACCTCCAATACCTATTAACGATCAAATTGAAACAACAATGGCATCAAATGAAGCATTAAACATTGATCAAGAACGTCGTTTATTACATGAAATTATAGATAAAGAGGATAAGAAATTATGGAGACAACGTATTCGTCAACGTCATCAAGCTGAACGTAAAAAATTGAAAGAGGAAAGAAAAAAATTAAAACAATTGAATGGTCCAAAAGTTTCATTAAAAGAAAATTCATCTGATTCAAATATTGAAAATGAATCAGATTAACTGATTTAAATGAGCAATTTGGTAAGTATTATAAAAACAACATTCTTCAACAGTTTTATAGAATTGATAGATTGTAGCTGAGCAGTAGAATTCAAGTTATGTATATCTTACAACTTGAAACTCATTGTCTAGGATGTACATGTCAATGTTTGCATTATCCAATATTCCTTTTTGGAGTGAACGGTACTTGATTGCAGTTCCAATATGAACATCAACACTGAAATACTTGTTTATTCAGCTAACGATTCTCATATAAGATAATGTATATCCTGGATTTCAGTACTAGAAGAAGCACAACTCATTCATTCTCTGATAAAATAGCTATATTGTAGTAATCCTATCAAGTTGCATATATACCAACAAAGACGGATTAAGATTTAGTACTGGACACCAGCCATAAATTAGTTGAAAACCTTACTTGAAAATTTGTTTATCATTACAAACCAGCATATTTCATTAGCCAGTAAATCATTTTGAAACTATGAAGAATTAAATAACCATTTCATGTTAGTTTGACACAGATCCTTTAACAATGCATACCGACAACACTAAATATGTTCATAGTTGAAAGCTTGAGTCAATTGAAGCTAGATCACCATGGAAAACCTGGAAGCAATGGACGGCCGTTTTGTCCTATTATGGGACTCAGTGGTCTATCGGTTAAGTACTATGGCGCGGGACTGCTAGGTCCTGGGTTCGAATCCTGCAAGGCGGGCTCGTAGATGCGCACAATGACGAGTCCCATAAAAGGACTAAACGGCCGCTCAGTGCTTCCAGGTTTTCCATGTGTTATATCGTATGGACTCGTAATATATATGAACGTGCAATTGGAGAGGTAGTGGATTTTACTGATCGGACGCAAATGATACTTGAAATCGTACGAGCAGTCTTGGATGCAATCCGGTTCTTCCTATCTGCCTAGCCCAGCCGTTAAGTCCAGAACACAAATAACAGCCTCGGCAATATGGATCATTATTTACAAACATAATGGGTTTTTATACAAACCAAAGTAATCAATAACTGAGTATAACTCAAGAATCGTATGATCATAAATCAAAGATCAAAATAAAGCTCATGATAAGAGAAATACGAATATGAATAGTTTAGTTACGTAATAATTGTACAATAAGAAATAGGCATAATACATTGGTCGATAAATAGTCCTTAGAGTTACCATTCATAATTCACCAGGGGATATAACACCATGGTCTAACTTCCATTGACTCATGATTTCAACTATGAAAAATAGTGAAATCTCCACAAAACCCCTTCTGATAATACTAAATATGATTCCATTTGTTACTGTTGTGTAAATACAATGATGGATTTATAGAACGCTGTGCTTATTTTCAAGGAATGTATTTGTGTTTATGTATAAATATGCAGTTCAAAACGGAATTGAGGATTACAACTTTTAGGTTGGAAATACTTTTTTGGAAATCAAATTTGTTAACATATATTAGTATATAAAATGAATAATTCTTATATTCTTGTGTTGCTATAAGGTATGGGAACTAAGATTAATGTACTCCAGGTTTTGTGTCCTACCTCTTTAATGACTGCCAATCCACATTATTTGTACAAGGGTTATTGTTACTACCCAATTGCCTAGTCTGAACTAGGTAATAATCTAGGATTCAAACACTCACTTCCAGTGATCAAATGTCTGTCAATAAGTTGTAATTTTAATGAGGCTGTTAACCCGAATAATTTCATTACTATTCACTATTTTGAAGTAGAATAACAAGTGAAAACAGTCTTGGGTTACATAAAGTGATTTAGACTACTCTACACAAACTTATGATTTTTTTTCGACAATTTTACTGGTGTCATCAATATTTGGGCATACAAAGTCGATGATGACTGTTAAGGCACCAAATATATATGCGCTACATGTTGTCATTCAATTTGTGTAAGGTTTCAAATACTTCTCGGGCCCCATGACCGAGATAGGTGGTTTCCTTAGAGGGTCATTCCTTAAGCCTTTGACCTAGAGGTCTAATCCACAAAGCAATGTGGGAACATTAGGAAATACAGTCCCATGTTATCCGGTGAACAATAATATGTTCAAATATCATCTGTCGCCTCACGATCTTGGAGTTTATATGCACCATTAGTGTGAAATCAGGGTTTTCCAACTCCTCTAGGTGAACCTTCCATATCCACCAACCCTGTTAATGCGTCAAAAATTCGCTTTTCGTCTTTTGAATTTCATAAACAACATCCCCACCACGAGAAGGCATTGAGTATAACTTTCCTGTCAGTGGCTGTTTATATATGGCCATGTGAGAGAACATTTTAATAGGGGTAACAGACTCTCCACACCCTCTGCTATAACAGGACATTTGAGAGAGTAAAAACTTCATCATAATTTGTTGCCATCGGAAAGTACCATTAATTATCATACAACATACATTGACAGTTATATTTGTATATTCTAATTAGTTCATCACAATAATAATTATACAATTTAGCCAACTGAACACAATCGGTGAACGGTTGCTCAACTTCGTGGATTGGTTGGAGTTAGACATTAACACCGTTGGATGCCGGCCGGCTCAGTGGTCTATCGGTTAAGTGCTCTGACTCGAGACTGGTAGGTCCTGGATTCGAATCCCGCGAGGCGGGATCGTGGATGCGCACTGCTGAGAAGTTCCATAATAGGACGGAACGTCCGTCAAGCAGTGCTTCCAGGTTTTACACGGTGGTCTAGCTGTAATTGACTCATGATCTTAACTATATAAAATCATTTCTGTTGTTGTTGTCGTTTTATTGAATATGTTATTTCTATATCTAAATACCTGATTCTATTTCCATTTTGATACACACACAGATTATACTCGAGATCAAATGCATGGAAAGATTATCAAGGAAAAATGGATTAACATTTTTGACGCTTGTCAATATTGTAAATAAATTTATGAAATGAAGAAAAAACAACCGTATTTTGTTTTCTTTTATTAACAATGAATAGTAACTAGAAGGGGGTTTTGTGAAGATTTCAGTATTTTCATAGTTGAAATCATGGGTCAATTGAAGCTAGATCACCATCAAAAACTTGGAAGCACTGGACGGCCGTTTCGTTCTATTGTGGAACTCTTCAGCAGTGCTCATCCACGATCCCGCACTCGCGAGATTCAGACCCAGGACCTACCAGTCTCGAGCCGGAGCCCTTAACCGATAGACCAGTGAGCCAGCATCCAACGGTGTTAATGTCTAACTTCAACCAATCCATGATTTTGAGCAACCATTCACCAATTGTCTTCAGTGAGTTGATATCTCTACAACAGACTTGGTAGAACTCCACTGGCCACTGCTTCCCACTAGAACTCAAGGACATATCATTTGAAGTCAGTCACTAGTGAGCATATGATTATAGATCAGAGGGGGTTTTGTGGGGAATTTAGTATTTTCATAGTTGAAATTGTTCTCCTACTATGTTGTATTTGAAAGTTTAATACCTTAAACAAACAAGTGTAACCTCTCTCATAATAATATTCTTCATAACTTATGATTTCTGATTTATTCATGCTTGTTGCTTAGGCAGTTCAAATAGTCGTAGTTGGAATATGTGCAATGATAGACCTCGGTAAACATAAGACTTCATGATCATAATTTCCTGTTATTTATCATCAGACATACGCTTAACTCGCTTGCATCCATTAGTCAGTAGTTTGTACTCAGTGTTGTATTTTTAAATGACAATCCTACTTTTCATACATAGGTCAATTGCTGTCTAGTGATATTTTGATAGATCAGTGTGAAATAGGATAATGACTGGAGAAATCATATTTGTTGTCAATCTGAATACGTTTTAAATATCGTTTAGAGCTGTTCAGTTGAATGAGTAACATCTATAATGCAACAATAAATATGTTGGCATCCAACTACACGATTGGGATATGCGTGAAAACAATGATTTATCTTCAGTTTAGCATCGTGAAGATTGTGGAATTTCATTGAAACTATGAACCGATCAGTGTTGGACCACTATTTTAAACTAGGAAGCACTGAACGGCTCGTTTTTCCTGGTATTGGGCTTCTCAGCAGTACATATCCACAATCTCATACGCGAGATTCGAACACAGAACCTTCGGTCTCGTACACGGACGATTAGACTCTAGACCACTGGAGCCGGCACTCAACGGTGTTAATGTCTAACTTCAACCAACCCACGATGTTGCAGGGCATCGTGGATTCAGCAATAGCCTAACATTAATCTGTCCATGATTTCAATGAAATACATACATAGACTATTTACAAACCTAAAGTCGTGAGATATTTGTAGGGATTAACGCGTCTGTATGTCTGGAAATAGAACGTCTTCTTGTAATGATCACTTCAAAATTTATTACAACATACGGCAACGTAAATAACAGCTGGTAGCTGTCTAATATCAATAATATCTATGAACAATCAAACCAGAAACTAAAAGCATACAACTATGGAACCTATTGTGTTTAAACGAAGATCCAATAAATGTACAAAAACTGTAAATAAATTACAAGGGTCAAGAGGAAGCAATTATAGTAAGACATGCACTAAAAGCTAGTTTGTGTGAGTACGTTAAGATATCACAAAAAATCAACTTGCATTATATCATATGTCAGGATATTAAAAAGAGGACTATAGTAGTATAAAGCCATGAAAAAATCAGTTGAATGAGAACAAAGATAATGTAAACGAAACTAACAAAATATGTTTACGTAGTATGATCCTGTCAGGCTCGATTACACTTTGCCCCCAAATGCCCTGGCACAGCCGAGAGTAGGGAGAGTCCGCTCTCCCTTTCAAAATGCTCTCACATGGTCACGTGTATATAGCCTCTGCCACGGAAGTCCTACTCACTGCCTTCTCGTGGCGGTAGTGTTGTTCACGAAATTGAGAGAACGGAAAGTGGATATCCGGCGCTTTAACCGGGTTGATGGATATGGAGGATCCATCTAGGAGGGTTGGAAATCCCTGATTCAAAACTAATGGTGTACATGGGATCCAGTATCCTGAGGAAACAAATGGCGTATGAGTCAATTGTTGGTCATCGGCTACCATGCGACTGCATCTTCTTACGATGCTCCACTATATTGTAGATCAAACCTTTAGGTCGAAGGCTCCGGGTGTGGCCCCCTAAGAAAACCATCTGTTTCAGTTTGGGCACCCAGGCAGTATCACAGCCCTCACACAAATCAAATGAGATTTGTGCGGCGCATATTTATCTGGCGCTTCTTTGTATCGATATTTATGTGTTTAAATAAATAAAAATATGCTCGTAATTTCATTTCAGAAATATTTTAAGATCTACCGTTCATTCAGCTAGACTATTAAAAGAGTATCTTGTTGAGCTGATAAATTAATGGAGCGCGTACTTCAGATACTCAGCAATCAAATATGTGTTTATTGATCAAACCTGATTTGGTTCAGTTGTTAACTTTACTCTAGGAAACCTCTTAAGTACATACTGCATATTTACATCTGATATAAATCCTCTTGGCGTTTATAAATTAGCTGATGTCAGTCTTAAAACAACACTGGTAAAATAAGGCATTGACTGATATTATAATTCGTTATATCTGCGTTTCTCCAAAAAGTAATAACATATGATATGTAACGTTTGGATGACATATATGGGTATGCATTCATCACATTCAAACCATACTGACATTATGTTCGACCTCGTCAATTATCTTCTTGTTATGTCCCGATAAGAACAATGAATGGTAGCTTGGGGATCTACTTATGAACCAATATTATGCATGTACTTTTTTATCGTATATTCGCTAAATAACTAAACTATCCATATTCATTTCCCTCTTATTATAAGCTTTATTTTGACCTATGAACTATTACTATACGATTTATAATTCTTGAATTATCCCTAGTCTATTAGTTACTGTCTCCCACATGCACAGCCACATTAGGCTACAACTTGTACAAACGTTATTTCCTATTTTATTGGTACGATGTGGTCAGTCTGTTTGGTATATAAACTCATACCGCAGAGGCTGTTATTGCTGTTCTGGACTTAACTGGCTGGGCTAGGCAGAAAGCAGGACCGATACCTACTCTAGACTACTTGTATGGTTTTCGTGTGTCATTGTTCCCAATCGATAATTCGCTGCTCTCTGATTGTCGGTGTTATCGCGTCATACGTTAGCGAGGCATCTACTCAGCCACATGATATAACAGGTTCCTTCTTTAATTAAGATGTTGAACGTCCGTAAAGAAAAAAAAAATGTTCTTTTAGTCTTAGCCTCTAATACAAATGATAGAAAAAAGAAGAGAATTATCATCTTACTGAATTGATTATTTACAATTTTGGGAAATATACAATAAATCCAGTTTTATTTTTATTCGTCAAATTTTACTTTTTTCGGTTTATGATGATTAACATTATTGTTATTCGATTCATTAGGTGGAATAAGTGCAGCGGAACGTTTAGCTTTTTGTCGTTCTTTTGATATTTGATTAGATTTAGTAATATTTGATTCAACTTTCAAACGTTTACGTTCAGCTTCAGCTAAGAAATATGTACCTTTTTCAAGTTCAATATCAATTTTTGATTGAACTGGTGGTGGCGGGAATGGATTGTATTCTTTTTTCTTACGAACCTAAAAATAAACAGTTAAAATTGTTCAGTAAATTATAATGTTTATGGAATGATGGTAAATCAGTTGATGAGGTTGTTAATCTTCATCGACTGAGATGGTTGGGCCACGTGTTACGTATGCCTGAACACCGATTACCACGACGCGCTATGATGACTAGTATTGGCGATGGTTAAAAGAAAGTTAGGGGCGGCCAAACCAAAACGTGGCATCAGTCCACAAAGTCACTAACTTCTAGTCTGAGCAATGTTGGCAGATGCAGACTACCTAGTTGGGGTCCGCGTGACTACCGTAACTAATGATTGGGGACTCTAGGTGACATGACACAGAATCGATCACAATGGCGCAGGTGTATACACTCTTTATGTTCTTTTAAACATTGAGATTAAAAATTGCTTCATATCTGTCTTCCTTCCTATACTATATCCTTATATACGATCTTCCATTCATAGATTACCATCAATAAATTAACTACTTTTATGAATCTGGTGTTGATCTTGTCGTGCTAACAAGGTATGGCAACTTGGACCGATGCATAAATGTGCCTGGTCCTACGTTGTAGCTGACTGACTGACACTCTATAGAGATTTAGCATGTTTTTTTACATTAATATGGATCTACAGGTAGATTACATATTTACATGATCAAAAAATGATTGGTAACTATTTAATCTTATATAGTTGAAATTATGAATCAATTGAAGCTAGACCACCATCGAAAACCTGGAAGCACTGGAAGGCCGTTTCGTCCTATCGTGGGACTCCTCAGCAAAGCGTATCCACGATCCCGCCTCTCGAGATACGAACTCAGGACCTATCAGTCTCACGCGTGAGCGCTCAACCCCTAGACCACTGAGCCGGCATCCAACGGTGTTAATATCTAACTACAACGAAATTGAGCAACCATTCACCAGTGTCTTCAATGAGTTGATATCTCCCAACAGATCTAGTTGAACTCCACTGGTTACTGCTTCTCACTAATTTATTAATTATTAAATTACAAACAGTTATGAAGATATTTGCATGATTCTTTTGGTGTTTCATACTTAACAGTTTACAAATATGAGATTAATATCACTAATAATAAACGTACTTTGTGAGGTTTTCTACGTCGACTAAGTACCTTCTTTTTCATTTTTGGCAAAAATCGATCCCAGGATATATTTTGTTTTGTAGGATCCATAGAAAGTTTCTTTATTATAAGTAATCTTTTAATAGAATAAGCTGGATGTATATTGTCATAAATGCAGCCCTGAACAATTTTACGTACCTTTATTTATATAATAAACAACAAGAAAGTAATTAGCTTAAGTAGTATACTTATTTAAAAAAACAATCGTATAGAGAGTAAATGAGTAAATTCCGACATCTGTACATTATAACGAATTATTAACAAATCAAATCTAGAAAGGATTACAACTCCTCTGGGGTCATAACTTTCGATTTCTCGACGTTACAGTTACTATTCATATAAACGAGACCATGAAGTTATGTTAATATATCCAAATTAGAAGTTTTATGTCATCAGTGAAAAGTTATTTCACGCTGCGAATGGGTTTAAGGCATACTGAAGTCAGTATTTCAACACTTCTTGTAATTTTCTTGACTTTCACGATTATCTTTACCTTTTAAAAAAGTTCATAATCAGAAATCTAAAGCCAAATATAATGGCCCCGAAACATCCCAAAAGATGTCGAAATGAGTTTTAAAGAACAACAATTTTCGTACAAAGCCAAATAAAACTTTTAACGTAGACATACATTCAAGCGAATCTAAATGAGAAACCAATTCTTTAGTTAGACAGTACTATTAGGTTCCTCGACAGTCAGTTCTATGTGCTAATTTTAGAATTTGGAAATAAGTGAAGACAAAAGGTTTATTGGCTATTCGGATAAGCGTTACCAAGTGGCAATATAAGTCCAATTCTAAGATCGATTATACAGTCACCTTAGACTAGTGCATTTGCCTTTATTCTTCTAGAATAAGTGACTGGTGGGAACTCAGGACTTCTATAGTCCACAAGCCCCCAAATGCCCTGGTACGGCCGAGAGTGGGGAGAGTCCACTCTCCCTCTCGAAATACTCTCATATGGCCAGCGAATATATAGCCTCTGACAGGGAAGTCCTACTCACTGCCTTCTCGTGGCGGGGGTGTTGTTTACGAAAGTGAGAGGACGAAAAGCGAATGTCCGGCGCTTTAACCGGGTTGGTGGACACGGAGGGTCCACTTAGGGGAGTTGGAAAACCCTGATTCCAAACCAATGGTGTTTATGGGCTCCAGTATCCTGATGGAACGAATGGCGGACGAATCAATCATTGATCACCGGCTATCATGGGACTGCCTCTCCTCACGATGCTCCACTGCCTTGTGGACTAGACCTTCAGGTCAAAGGCTCTGGGTGTGGCCCCCTAAGAAAACCAACTGCTTCAGTCTGGGCACCTGGGCAGTATCACAGCCCTCACACAAATCAAATGAGATTTATGCGGAACATATTTTTCTGGTGCTTTTTTGTATCAATATTTGTGTTTAAATAAATAAATAAAATAGTCCACAAACCAGATATCATAATAGTGACGATAAAATTAATTAGGATTCAAATTATTATAATACTGCAGATACATAAAATAATTAAACACACCTCCTTTAAATCGTTATATCGACCAACCACAGAAACAGTTTTTCCTTGCACAACTATATAACAGTTAGTAGATAGCTCCAGAGCTTTCAATGTTTCACCATCATGGCCAATAAGCCGATTACGTCGTTTAACAAATCGCTCACGATTAGTCAAGTTTATCTCAATAATATCTGCAAATGTCTCGTCATCCAGAACACGGATAGCTTGCTCCATAGGAACAGAGCGAGCTAGTAAGCGTATAACATCCCTGGCCTTTAGTATGATAAAAGGATCAAAAGTTTTTGGAGTTGTTCGAACTTCCATAGTGCTTTCAGCCACATCTATTTCCACGCGGATATGCTGTTCATAAAATTAGAAATACATCCCCATTACATAAGAATAAGTCAGAAACAAAAACCACAAAAAAAACCAGCATGAAGAATGTGGGACATAATAAACTGGCTTGAACAATTTCAAAAGAATAGCACTCAAACACAGAATTATGCTATACAATTCATTATATTTCCATGCAATTGCTTAAGCTATACACATGCATTAGGGGTCGGTGATTTATTATTCAAATTCAGCATAGTATTCATAATTGCAATTAACTAGGAGCAATTATATACCTACTACAAAATATCCCGATCTCCTATTTTGGGGGAAATTTAATCCGTTATGCGGAAGCTGCTATGGAAAATTTTGAGGACATGGCACAGAAACTCCAAATTTTCTTCGCATCTGAGATAATCCCCAAACCGTTGGGGATAGCATACAGGTATTGGGAATACAGACGACCATTCAATGCAAATAGTCGCCCCGAACACATTTACCCTTATTCAAGAAGTTAATGAATGACGATCACCTGAAAATTCTTACCACCAGACATAAATTGTATTGGCTAATTTATTTCCTTCAATGGTTTGCTTACATCACAAGCAAAAAGTAAACCTTCCACCTTTATTTATTTTGTCTATTCAGGTTATGCAGTACGATTAACAAATTATGCTTATAGTTCACGAACTTTGCAAGTTGCAAGGTGTGATCACAACAACCGACGAACAAGATACATGAGATACGTTTTTGTGATATTTAGAAAATATATGAATAATAATTAATTTTATGCACATCGCCCTTACATGTTCCATCATTATTCTTCTTAAAACGGGCCAAATTTCGGTCAAGTACTTCTCACGATATTTTGGGAAGAGCGTTGTGTATGATGACGAAGCAAACAATCTTCCATGAGGATTATCCTCAGGATTGAACTTAGGCTCCTTCCAATCTTTTGGAACCTCAGCATATTGTGGCTCCGAGACTTCATCAATTTCTTAAAAAAATACTTGAAACACGAAAATTTAATAACCAACTTTTTGCAGAAAACGCTTTGTATGGTACCCAACCCGGAACCACTGGAAAACTGAGCTTCTGCTTATTGGTTTTTTTACCCATTGTGTTTCACGCACATGCCGCTCGTTATTTTAGCGATTAGATAATAGTGATGATGAAAGAAACCTGACAGACAAATACCAAGACTATTAAACCAACAGCCGTGTTAATAGCAAACGACCTAGAGGAAATAATTCCCACACCACGGTTAATGTCCAATACTGAGATAATATTTCTATCGTTTGAATAAACATAGATGGTTTTAATTGCTTGTGACTATTTTAAAACTACCCCAGAAATGTTTATGTGGTCCCCAGATGTAGATCTCACCACTCTGTAGCAATTCTTTAACGATAAGAATTGTTACATGACTATGTAATATACTCCAAACTTCAAACTGATCAGTCTAAACGGTTCAGATATTTCTACAGTCCGTTCTTTTGTATTGTCACCAGTTTCTCGGGGGTTATGCCCCAGAGTGTATTTATCCTTTTGGAATGAGGGAGGAAATACTGTTTCAGTACTCTAAACGAGAACGAATGAGACTGTTGAAGATCATATGGAAATTTCTTTTGTCAAACTAGCCAAATATGCGCTTCAATGTTACCAGTTCAAGGTTTTCTCGATTAGAATTTTTGTAACAGTTGCCGTAAGACTTAAGATTATATGGTTTGAACACTACAGGATCTTCTTAAATTTGGGATACCTCTAGGAAAGGAGTTACCCAAATTAATGTTTCTTTGATGCCTTGCCACCTGTACTCTTGCGAGCAGTCTGTTTCGTGTGTTCAGTGACTGTGAACATGTCTCAGATGGACTACTTCACATTCTGAAGTGTTTAAAAGTAAGTCCGTTGTCGTGTGCCCAACTTTGAAGTAGAGTCAGATCCTCCTGAAGTGCCAGTATATACCCTTGGTTTCAGACTTCTATCTAGAGTATCACGTTTTCAACGAAAAGTAATAAATCTGGCGACATCTGCATGAAGTTTAACTGCGTTGACCTTTGAAAATTGTTATGATGTGCGCCAGTTCCCAATTTTCTGGTTATGTTACTAGGCTAAAAGAATGTGAAGACATCAAGCTAAGCGGCGTTGACAAGATTGAAACTGATTCCCTCAGTAAAGCATGATCCTTGTTTTTCCACTTACTCTGTTAAATATGTATGTGAGGATACGACTAGTATTCTAATTTTACAATTAGCTACCAGTAGCACCTTCTATAATCGAAACCCTTTTGGCCAAATAGAAACCAGAAGTCAGACGAGAAGAGATAGGAATTTGCCACTTAATGTTGACAAAAGTGGATTTATTAACATTGGCCGTTGCCTTAACTTAAATCTGGCTATACACAAACATACACTGAAACCTCTCAACACTGTACATGACTTGATTTTAAGATACAGCGACAGTTTGAACTTTTCGGAACACATTGCATCTCAAGTATCTAAAGCTAGAAAGCTCATCGGATTCATAATGATTAATTTCAATAATACCGAATCGAGATTATTATTATACAGAAAATGTATCTTACCAATTCATGAATATGGTATCTTAGTTTACAGTAACTGCAGGCATAATGACCTGATTAAAATTGAAAGTGTTCAAAGAAGGTTCACCAAAGCTGTTTTGGGGTATTCTGACAACAAAGACTATCACCAAAGATGTCAACAACTCAAACTAGAACCTCTTTGGATCAGGCGTATCAAACTAAACCTTATTTTTCTCTACCGGCTTCTTAACGGTATTTCTTACTCTTCGCTATCTACCCCATCATACTCTATGATACCGTCCCACAATCTACGCAATAAGGAAAATATTATAGCGATTCAAAAAACCCAAACAAATTTACGCCAGAATTTTTTCGTTATTCGCTACTCAACCATCTAGAATAGACTACCAATGAACCTCCGATGCAGTGAAACTATAATCCGGTTCCGAAGTCTTCTTGATGACTTTCTCTCCGAAAGTGGATTGTGTCAACTATTGAATACTAACGTGCTTAACAACGATTTATACAAAAATGGTCCGTCATCTATCTAACTGACTGAAAAGCAAAGTGAAACCTTTGAAACTTTCACTTTATTTTATATTTATCTGAATATACAAAGTCTGCTTATGTTCGTATTTATAATTATTACTGTTATTAATATCATTATTGGTCTTTCGACACATTAGATATTCTTTTCATCTCTTCTTGTCCTTCTAAACATATTTTATCCAAAGTCTACAATTAAAAACAAAAAACTTCTATGTTCCACTCAAACAAATGATTTTTTTAAATATTCACAACATATATATAACATATAGAAATTTATATTTAAATTACTCTTTGCAATTAATTATGACTATGATAGCATTATTGTAAATTATTATTATTGCACTAATGTTTATGCTACAACCCGGTTTCACTCTGTATACTGTTACATAATTCTACACGTATTTATCCGAGTGCAGTAAAGGTTTATTATTATTGTTACTATTGTTATTATTATTTTAAAATTATTCGTTCATCTCAAAAGTCTATATCCATTACACTATTATGATCATGGTTGGACCCTTTTCACTATATGTTCATTTCTTTACTCTCTCCTTTTTTTCCTTCTAAATAAATATTATTCTTAAGATTACGAAGCTTTGGATTAAGGCAATAACTTGTGTTACGCTGAATTAAAACTTATCAGTCTCTTTTTATCTTTACTATGTATATACACCTCACACACATTGATTATCTTTTGCACTTAATTGAAACTTTCAGAGCATCACCCAAAACTATGACTGTACACGCACAAACACTTATTCTAACGTCATATCTTACCGCAATAATAAGTTATTTACTTATTAATTTATTCTGTTTTATTTTATTTTTATTACTCGTTTTTGCTATACATACATAGTTGTTTATTCTTGTTCTGCGTTAAGATACTTCTGTATTCCGCGTCTCCTTTATTTCTATTTCCTTAGTTTCTTCCTTTCCTCCTTCAAAATCAATTCAAAATTCTTGCTAATTACACAGAACCTGATTTATTATTACTATTCTATTAATAATATTTTATTTTCCTTTTCCTTCCTTTATCAAACATGGCATATGTATTGTTAACATTATTGAAAATTGTGTATTATTGCATTTTTGAAGAAACCCGAAATGGTTTCTTCACAGCACTTATGTACCCATAAGGTGTTTGTGAATAATAATAATAATAATAATAATAATAATAATAATAATAATAATAATAATGAAAGATATATTTCATACGTTACCAATATATCGTTATTAACTGACTATTGAAACGTAGGAGCTGTGTCCCACACCGAGTTGCAACGCGATCTGGTACGGATGCATGACCGAAAGCATTCAGTCAAACAAGTCCACTTAAACAACGTGGTCAGCATCCAATGTCGAAAACTTAGAAAGCTATTGATTTTGGGGAATTATTTACAGCTACATGTGTAATCCTATTTTAAGTGTGTATGAGAGTGCTTGTGTGTAATTTTGCTTTTATACGTCATTATTGCGGTGTGTAATTATATTTTGATAAAATGGAGAGGGGCCGTTTGTACTGCTCTGTTCAGGTTTCTTACCAAGATTTTCAGATTTGTGAAATAGGAACAGAAAGCATGGGTGTGTGGTGGATGTCGAGTCGAAGACGGACTATGATCACCACTACAATTCGTTTACGCGCCCAAAAAAACGACTTGGTTCCTTTGATGGCTCGTAAATCAGAAGACTTTATTAATCCAGATCAATTGTATTTATTGGCGATCTCGTGGTATCGAAATAATACCGAGACGTGCCAAAGAGTACAGGCGAACAGGCAGTGCGTGAGCAAGTTCGAACCAAACAAGGCGGAGAGCGAAAGCAGAAGTGAAACAGATACAGTTAAACAAATACAGTAAAACAATCTCTGGTACAATTGGTTACAATAATAATAATTGTTTCCGTTATTCCAATCGTGTTCTTATCGAGACTGGCCGGTCACTACAGGAGCCCCCCGCTAGAAAGGGTTTACACTTTCGATACGTAGCGGTTTCGTTCGTGGGACTGATCGCGAAACGTACAATTGTAGGACGAAGGCGTTGGCAGAACAGGAAGTGATCGTTGATCCTCGAGTTGCCACCAAAAGTCTTTGACGTAGAACGGTACCAGAAGGAATGTACTGTATTGATTGCTTGGATTAGCATGCTACACCAGAGTGGTTTGTATCCAGAATCTGAAGGTTGCGTTCGTAGAGGTCCGGACCAGAAACGCTGCAGACGTAGGACGAAACCAGATTGAGCCAAGGAACCAGATGCGACCAGGATAACCATGTTCGGGACCAAATGTATACCATACGTATTTGGAGCCAGAGAGGTCGACTGAGTGCGTTGACTAGAGCGTGGGTGATCAGGCCAGCTTTCGCCAAAGTTGACTGAAGTCGACGATACCGTAACAGCGGTGGTTGGAGGCGTAGGCTCGGGGAAAACAAAAAAATGAGAGAAAAAGAGAAGAGTGTAGCATTCGTGTAGTATAGTGTTAAGGTCCTATACTGTATCCGCTGCTGGTTATGAGGTTAGTCGTGAAAGCGTACGGGTAAGCGTACTCGGCGACCGGAACGTGAGACGGTAGTCTCGTTCGAACCTCGTGAGCCTGCAATCTCATTCACAGTCAAGGGCGGTGTGGTCTGCTGGTCTGGACGTGAGACGGAAGTCTCGTCAGTAGACGGGGCAGATGATACGTGCTGTTGACTGGGACGTGAGAATGAGGTCTCAGGTGCATCTAGCGTGGGATCCGAAGTAGATGTAGAAATCCAGCTAGAAGCTTTGATAGGTCTAGCATTGGGTCTCGGCTTATCAGGTAGGGCACTGTCATCGACGTATGCTGGCTTGAGACGATCAATGCTGACGATTTCGACGCGGCCATGTCGATCAACCTTGAAGGTCTTTTCGTGACGGGAAATCACGTGAAAACGGCCTTCGTAAGGCTGTTTGCTCAGATTGACCGTAAGTTGTCGTGTACCATATTTGGGAATGACTGAGTCATCCGCAGCGCGTAGTCGAAGCATCGTAGCTTGAGACTTACTGTTACTGATAGGTACGACAGAAACTTGGGTACCTGTATCCACGAGGTACCTAGAGTTAGTGCGATAATCGTGCACGTAAAATAGACGGTCAAACTGAGGTAAAGGGCCGGTGAGTACGGCCGTATTTACTCACCGGCTCAGGAGTTTCTCGCCTTGTATGAGCAAGGAGCTGGACAATGACGGGCACCGGCCCCGAAGGCACGGTGAAACCAGCACCAACCTGGACTCGCTTCCGAAACCGCCTTCTGGCGTGGCTTGGAAGATGCCCGCTTGGGGCGAGTCGTTACGGCCTTACGAGATTGTGACCTGGGTCGGGGGACGTAGGGGGCTGGCACGTTTGTGCGGTCTCGGAAACTGAGACGAGTATGGATACATCTGTC